TATATTTGTAACATATATCAAAATAATTGCAATATTATTTTGTTGCAGCTCCAGATTCCACCTAATTTTATTTGTTTTTTTTTGTTCAGGTTGCTCATCTTCGTGCCCACGTGTTGATCCACACGGGGGAGAAACCATATCCCTGTGAGATCTGTGGAACTCGCTTCCGTCACCTGCAGACATTAAAGAGTCACCTGCGCATTCACACAGGAGAAAAGCCCTACCATGTATGTTGACACGTCTTAAAAAGTTTTGGGAAAAAAATCTCAACAAGAGTGTAAAAATGATAAATAATAACACCGCTCCGCTTTCTTTTCAGTGTGAAAAATGCAACTTGCACTTCCGCCACAAGAGTCAGCTCCGGTTGCATCTGCGACAGAAGCACGGCGCCATCACCAACACAAAGATCCAGTACCGTATGTCCACGGCAGACATGCCCACTGACTTGACAAAGGCATGCTGAACTAAATGAAGGAGACAGTTTTAATGGAGGCAATCTTGACCTTGGCATTTATAGACCCCAACTTGTACAATCATCCAAAATTGTAGTGCCACACTGTGTTCATTAGACAAATAAATTGGCTGTGTATGCCATTCTAAACGGGTTTCCACTACATGTGAACGTAGAGCCACATATGGCATCTTAGTCACTTTATTGTTTCTATATAGATATAAATATATATATATATATATGTATGTTGGGAGTGTTTTTAAGCTTTGAAGGTACGTATATAAAGCTTTATTTTGTTGAGAAGGATGGAATGTAAACAATCTGTTTTTTGAAAATACAGTATTTTATATCAGAGAACTTACTTTTCTGAAAGTATTGAAAATTTTGATTGACGGGTGGTACATATATTTTAAGATAACGGGATTTCCGGCTGTATAGAGTCGTCTATACATTTTTATGTAGATGTACGTACATGTTGCACCATGTCAAGTTGCCATATTCACGCAAAAGGGAAGAAAGGAAAAAAAGAAAAAGAAAAAAAAACGGAAAAAAAACATGACGTAATAATTGGATTTAGTCTAAAACATATCAGATGACTGCTGCTGTCTGATGAGGATATGCATGAGGTACTCTCTTACTGGTTGTCAGCATACACAAAGTGGGCAACTGCATAAATATTGTGACATATTGTGTAATTATATCTGTGGGATTGCTCTCTGCTGGCAGAGCCAATCCAAGTGTTGAACTGCATTTCAAGGTACTGCTTTGTAATGACCAAGAAAACATTTTTGCTTCAGATGTATTTGTATAGATGTGACTTTTGTTAATTTGTTTTCCAGAAGTGAAGGTTTACAGTTTTGCTCATTGTTCTAGATCCTACAGTAAAAGTTGTGTAAATGTCAAGGTTTTTGTTTGTAGATACACTGTGTATTCAATGTGCCTTTCTCTATGGTGACTGAATTCCTCTCCATTCAGCCCAGCTCTATTAAGGTACAACTCAAGGACACCACTTGTCCTAGATCCCTCTGTGTGTGTGAGTGTGTGTGTCTGAGAGTGTGTGTATATATTTTTAAATGCTCGTCACCAACCTTAGAACATGCAAAATTCATCAATGTAAATCTTCAGGACTTGTTTTTGGATTGGGCTTTTTTAACTGCATTAAAATTATTGTACAACGTTATAGATGTATGAATGTAAAATAAAGGTATTGGATTTCTATGTATTAACACCAGAGTGAGCGCTTTTTCTTTTTAATCTAGTCGGTCGACACTCACATATAAGGGATTCCTCAGAATGTACGGCGACAATGAAACCTTCAGATCAGAAGCTGAACATCATATACAGCAAAACGTCAAACTGTTAAATAAACAGTCTGATCTGCAGGTAATCTGGAAGTACGTAGTTTAGACATTAAATGATTAACAGCATCCATAAAGCACAGCTAACAACTGGTACAGATTTCAGCGGACTACAGGATATGCTTGTTCCTCAATATTTAGAACAAATATATGTTTCTCCGTCCAACGTTTAGACAACAATAGCTCGAACAGGTTCGGGTGTTTCTCTTCACATGTCAAACAAATATACGCTTCTTTTCCCTAAATGAAGAGAAACTTTTGAATATGAACTGAAATCCCATCTGAGCTGTTAAAGTCCAGTTTCTAAATTAACTCAAATGATACAAAGAAAGCGCCACATTTAAAGAGCAGAGTAAATCCAGCCCGTATTTGTGTTGTCTCAGCAGGGATCATATTAAATGAGGAAATCTGATGTACAAAAGAATAATTATTTAAAAGCGATACCGAATGCCTGAGTGTCTCACATTATGTTCTGAATTGTCACAAAGCTATTTCCACCATAAATTGATGCAGAAAAGGCACAAATTAGTGAATAAACATTCATCAAAAGGCAGGAATTTAAGAGTTTGAAGCTCAAAATTTCCTGGGGGACGACAGCCAGACCTCTCGCTTAATGTTCAAATCAATTCTATACCCAAGCAGCTGGGCTGACTGTATTTTTATTGTAGATAATAACTTAAAATGAAGCTCCTATATATGTTGATTTCCCTTGATGCCAGACAAAACAGAGTCCCAGGCAGCGTTTCTGCAGTGTTTGGGTTAAATTTAAGACTTTTAAATAACAAACAGAATCCAGTTTAATACCTGTTTACTGTCATCATACCGAAGTATAAAAGATATTAATGAAATCAGGGACAATACGTCCTACGGAAAAGCTGAATTTACCGATATTTAGGCCACTAATTCCCAACACTGAACCCTTTGAGCTGATCTGATGAGTTTATTAATCTATTATTAACTATTTCAATCCTTGGTTGTTAGTTGTTCAGGTGAATCGGTCAAACATTTGATGGTTCTTGTTTCTTAAATGGCACTTGTTGCTCATTCTTCTTGCAATTTACAAATAAATATTTGAAAAAAATAATTTAATTTTCAATTAAACAAAAAAAATATTTAGGGATGTTTGGACTGTCGGTTGGATACAAAACATTTCATATCATCTTGGACTCTAAAATTACATTTTCTTCCTGTTTTCCAGTGTTATATAATATAGTTTAATACAGAATGAAAAGAAGACTTTGGACGCTGTGACGTCGTGACTGGAATTTTTCCATTCTTTTTTTAAACATCATAGACTGAGTGATTAATCATGAATGGAAATGGTCAATAATTAGATTTTTCAATTATGATACATGACTTTGATACGCTGCAGATAATGGATTCATGAATCAATGAACCAACGAATGAAATAATCAACCAATAAAAATTAAAGAAATGAACAGCCAGCTTTTTGCTGAGATCTGAAGTCATTTCCATTAAAAAAAATAAACTTTGTAAACCAACTTTCTGACTTTTTCCTGTGCTTTAAAATCTGTGCAAACACTCAGCCTGGAAAGTATTGCTTCACCTTTTAAAATCAGAATCTGTCGAATACTGCTCACTCTGAGGAAGTGAGGAGTAAAAGCAGCATAACGACAACAATAACAGCAAGAACTACTCTCTACCTTCTCAACATTAGTACCTGCACTGTCTGAAGCTATGTCCTGTTTCTGTTCATCCTTGTTATCACCTGTACAGCAAAAAGGCTACAGCCCACTGAAACAGATAACCCACTACACCAGCAGCCATCTGAGACAATGACAGAATAACAGACATGAGAGACAATTACGGGATCATGGGATATATTAAATGTAGCATTAGAGCAGCACAAATGCAGAAGAGCCATAAAGTCAGCAAACTCATTCAGTAGTCACCAGCAAAAGTTTGCCAACATTAGTTGGAAGCTGTGAACTTCTGATCGGACCAGACTAAGAAAAGCTGCAGTGGCTCAATGGCACAGCGTATTTAATTGTAATGGTGCATTTTGTTGCTTATGAATTCTACTTTTCATTTGAATTTTTATTTATTTATTTTTTTTAAAGTATTACTTCATTTTCACAAGTGACAAACTAGCATTTTATGTCCTTTGGGTCGCAGTGACAGCAGAAATTTAAGATTCAGCACAACAGTTAGAATTATAAAACACCTTCTCATCAACAATAGAAACTGTGTAGGTATTAAAATAGAACTAAATAGTCTGCATTCAGAAGACAGATATTGCCTTCATCATGATTGCACATACTTGGATTCATGTCAGCATTCCGATTTGGATGGAGACCACATCAGATTTTAATCTCCATTTCCCATAAACGCAGTGATTTGCAAAGCAACTCTTACTCCGTTGCACAACAAAGTTTAATTTGCCAAAACGTAAATCCTCGAAACACGTCACCAGAAAAACTAGCACAGCTTCTTAGAAATCACAAAAACTTGATCAAAATATAAATAACTTTTATTTCCAGGTGGCATAAAAAAAAATTCCAAAAGTCATCATTTTTACGAGATAATCAAACAGTGCCTGTTAATACTCAACATAAACATCACAGCAGAACTTTAGCTCTCCTTGCTGGGGTTGAAATTTAGTTTTATCGATTTTCATCAAAACAGAAGATCAACAAAAAAACTCCTACATGGTCTGTGAGGTAAAGAAGGCTTTCAATAATCATTGATTTGAAAAATATTGATCACTAATGTCGGGAATGCGATTAAATTATTTTTGATAAAGTAAAAGCTAATGACCAATACTGCTGAATGACACTTGCCATCGTTGACTGAACTAAACTTAAACTACTCATTATTCACCGTTACAAAAACCCTCCCCGGACTAAACCCCATCCTGCAGCCAAATCACTGCTTCTGCTGCATGGCTTCTTTTCGCGCTGCGTCCTGCAGCAGCTGAGTGTCCACTTCATCTGCAGGTAGCTGAACGTAACGGACCACCGATCCACGGATGAAACAGTTTTTCACAGACAGCTGGAGCAAATTAAAACAAGACAATGGTGCAGTTTGAGGACAATCATCATTCAATGTGTTGGAGGCACAAATCAGCTTCAAGAACTGAGAATATTGTTTTAGATAAAACAGAATGGTTGTCTTACTTTATGCAACTTTTATAATAGTAGGAGAAGTTTTATGGGCACTTTGTTGATGTGGTGTGGCACACAATATTAGTAGCAGTTCCAAAAACAAATTATTTTTTTCTATTTTATTGAACTTTCAACCTAATAAAAACTCAAAATGGATGAAAGTTTTGAAGTGATGACAAGCTGATCTTACACATTTGATATTACAAGAACGAAGGAAATGTTAAATACTGTGTTCAATCCATAAACAAGCTGAAGTTCCCCATAGACCCTCACATGTGCAAGTGTGTGTGTCTACAAGTGTACACACTTATGTAATGCACAATTTTGCAAAGGGGACTTCTAAAGCTTTCTCATTTTGAAAACAAGTGTATAAGCAATTTCTGTAAAATTTGAAAAAGTCTTTAACTATGAAGGCAGTTTAAAATGTCAGTGCTTTTTTTAGAGCTGTTAAAAGGACGCTCACAACCAGAAAATGACCGACCAAAGAGCGGCCAACAATCCTTGAATGGATATTAACAGTTGAGGAAATGTAGGCTGTGGAACCACTGACGTTTTGAGAAATGCCAAGAAAAATGAGAAATACAATGTAAATTTGCATATGTAATGTGAAACCAAAATGATTTCTTCACGATGAATTTATTTGATTTGGTAGATTTTGTTTTTGTTTCTCTCCTTGAAAGCGGCAGCATCATTTTTGATAAGAGCTGAATGATAGATGCTACTTTCTTCACAAGTGCATCATACACATCTCTGTAGCAAAGAGCACAATCATGGATATAAAAACTTGCTTACCCTGTCGCTAAACTGTAACACATTTTGATTTCCTGTCTTTTACATGATGTTAAACTTTTTTTTTTTTTTTTTTAACCTATGATGAAGGATGCTAATGACATTAGTCGTTAATAGATGATTTGCCACTCATATTTTTTTTGACTAAAAATATACAAACCTTTAAAAGCAGAAGACAAGGAACCTGCATGCGAGGGAACGTATAACAGATCTACTGCAGTACCTGTTTGCACCACCAGGTGGAGCCTCTCACTGTCTAACCTAGGTGGAGGTACAGGTATCGTTGCTGACCACCTGTAAGGGTCCGTAAATTGACTGCACCTCCCTGCTATCTAACTGCTAACTGTGGGAGTCACGCTGATAACCTCTGCACGTGGCAAAGCTGTCTGGTGGCTGTTCTGTGCTAACACTAAACAAGCATTTTCAAACACTAACACAGGCAGGGAGCTGAGAGCAACTGCAGCTAACATCCAGGAGCAGCAGGGCTCTGATTACATGCTCCAACAACATTCAAACTGAAGTGATGAAGTGCATTGGCGACGCTCCGCTTCGAGTATAAATATCTTTTAGAGGTGGCAGTAAATACTGACAGATTTCCTGTACTGATAAAGTTGCTGCAACAGTGTTTGGACTACAAACTATAACTACAGTAAGGAAGTCAATAAATTTTGTAGATCAGGTGTCAGGATAATTTTGATATCAAACTGCTGTGAAGAGATTTATAATGTTTGAGGTTATTTATTCTGAAAGACTGCAGCTTGTTTACTAATCCCTTTGATTTTGTCGAACCAGTTGTTGAATAGTAATTTAAAATCTTATCATGACTTTTGCAGTTTGATTTATAATTCAAGGAACCTTGAATTTACCTGTTCTTCAAATTTCTTAAGCAACAGAGTTGATTTTGCAGCGAAGATTAGGGTGTTTGTGATTAAAAATGTTTTTCTTAGCATTTGAAAAAAACATCCACTTTATTTCATTCATCTCAACAATTAAATTATTGTTTGCTCGCATGACCAAGTCTTGGTTGAGGAAAATGTTGAAAGTTTGCATCTCCATCTATGACATCTGCTTATTTTTCATTAGTTTTTGTCAAATACAATAATATGTAAATGGTGAAAACATGTCTCAGGGTTTCCAGTTTCACCAAAACACAACATAGGAGCTAAGAAAGACCTGTCAGTAATATGCAAAATGTGATGTGCCATGCAAACTTACCATGTGTGGGTATTTCTCTGGGTCTGTGACACTGATGTCTGTGAGTTTGATGTTCAGGTACTGAAACACAAGCAGAGGACGGTGATGTCAAAGGAATAAATGATGTACGCAGGCAAGTCAAGCCACATCAAGTCACTATTATTTACATAGAACATTTGAAACAGCAATTTTTGAGCACAAGTGCTTTTGCTTTTTCCTCTGAGAAAGAAAATTTACCCCAAAATAAATACAAGAAGGGAAAAAAAAAAACTAACAAAGTAGTTTATTGTTCATACAAATTGAAGATGAATAAACAAATTAAATACTTGTTTTCAGTGGGCTGTGAGAAACAATAAAAAGCCAGAGCAAAAGGTTGTACAAGAGGTCTGACAGAAACAGTTACACCAAACGTCAGTAAATAAGTAACTTATCCAACAGCATGCTTGCCTTTAAGAAAAATACTGCACATTAGTTACTTTGTTTTAAAATCTAAGAAGAAATCATTATTTCTCACCTGGTCAACAGAATGAAGTGTCCCACAGATGCTGAAAAGAGAAATGTGGGGATAAGGATTACAACAGGCATTCATGGACAGTCGATCCTTAAAACAAACAAACAAACAACTGAAACAGGTAGTGGGAAAATATCTCATACTAAAAACTGACAAATTATGTTACTGGCGTCTGCTGCTTTAAATCCCATTGCATTTCTAAGTCTGTATTAGGCTGCAACGTGTTTTTTTTTTGTTTTTTTTTATTTGTTTATATCTATATATATAACTTTGTACTGCTACTGCACTTTTATAATGTGTTAATATGTTAAACGTATATTTTGGTGAAAACGTTATTTCAAAGCTGAAGTTTCTCAGCCTCGCTAACACCATTCATTTATCCACTGCTCCAATCAGCTAGCACCGTTTTCTAATCAAGTACTGGAGACTACGGTGATTAATGTCACCGTGTTACGTTGCTAAGGTAAAATCTAAACTCACCTCAGGTCGTTCTTGAGCTCCACCACCACGTCCTTCCCCACCAGAGATTTGAAAAACGAGTAGAAAAGCTGCAAAACACAACGACATGCTAACGTCAATGCTAGCAGCGGGTTAAATGTCGAGGCTGTAGATAGCGAGCAAACTGCACCGAAAACACGGAGCTCCGAGGGAGTTAACAACTCATCGAATCTCAGGGTATTTGGTGTAAAGCGAAAAACAAATTCATACATTGAAAATTACTTCTTACCATAATTGCTGCTGCTGCTGCTCTCTTGAGATGTCGTGTCTGCTGCTGATGACGTATCAGAAACGTGTTATTCTTGCGACGCAGCAGGGTGCAGTTACTAAGCAGTACCACGAGAGGGAGCCAGAGCTGTCCACAGGTGTAACAGCCGGTAAACTCTGGTACCTGAGCAAGGTTTATTGTAGATAATTAGGTGAATTGTGTCACCATACAGCGTTACCCTTTAACTTTGACGGTAAATATGTAAAAGATATCTAATAAACCAAGTGGACTGAATCCTGTAGGATATCTAAACTCAATTTGAGCCATCAAAACTCAATGTAAAGTTAAACACGTTTTTTGTTTGTTTGTTTTTGTTTTTGCAAACAGTGCAGTACAATCACAATTTCAGACTTCAATTCAATTTCAAAATATTACATCCAAATTCAATTATTATTGCAATTATTCAAATTAAACTATACAAGTACCAAAAAAAAGAAGTATACAAAAACACCATCTGCACATCTTAACAAGGTTAAAACAAAACAAAACAAAACAAATTTTATTTTTACCATTTTTTTTCCTGTGTCAATAGCTGTTGTGCTTGATTTTATAGATTTTTTTTAAACTAGAGAGTATACAGAGTCCTGATACTGACATAATGTAGTCAACAGTGTAACTGGAGAAAAAAAACAATATCATCAGTTAAAAGAAACATAAATCTTTCTACTCTGATCTGTTGTTTGACAAAAGCAAATAACTTTTGCCCCTTTACTTGATTAATTTAAAGCTTAATTTATTCAAATGTTTTGTCTTGCACTAATGTCTGTTATCTTCTTGCAACCCACCACTGATAGTAGAAAAGAATCCTGAAGGAACTCCGTAAATCTTTGTAAAAATTTCTCATTATTTTGCAAGGCAAGAAGTAGGGCATGTCACAGATGTCATCTTTTGCTTCTTGACCTATAAGATGAATTTTGTGATCCTAAGGCTGTACATATTGTTAAATGCGTGGCCAGCATATTCTCCTCCACTACTTACAGATGTCCTGATGGAATATCAGTGAAAGAACTAACTGCTATTTGACTAATTTAAAGTGATAATATGAGTAAATGAGTAAATTCAAAAAATAGTATGAATGTATAGACAGTGCACCATCAAGCAACGCAAGCTCAGTCTGCCTGCAATTCTTTAATTCAGCAGCAGATGGAAGCAAATGACTGCGTTGTTGCAATATGAAATTATCCTCTACAGCAGATGTTGAAAAAAGGAAAAAACAAAGTCTAATTAAGCATTAATATTTGATTTATTTTATTTGAGCATTTATTGTACATCTTAAAGGCAAACATGTCTGTGCAAGATAATACTGTGTGGTAAACATTCATTGGCGGCTGTATAGTGTAAACTCAACATGAAATGGAAGGCATTTAGAAGTAGAGTTCCATTTAAAATCTGATGCTGGAATGCGAGTTTAGCACAAATGAAGCCTGAAAATGTGTCTCCAATGGTTACATAACGTTAAAGGAACATTTCAACACTTTGGGAGGAGGGCTCAAACAACAGAAGAGTTAGATGAGAGGATGACCTTGCCTGTAAAATATGGAGCTCCAGCCAGCAGATAGTTAGCTTAGCTTAGCATAAAGACTGGAAATTGAAGGAAATTGCTAGTCTAGCTAACTCAGATGGTGTTAAATGTGGTAAATAAGCCCTTTAACACATTTAATGCCATCAGAGTTGGCAAGGCGAGCAGTTTCCTCTAAAGCCGGTGGACAGTTAGCTTACCTTAGCATAATGACTGGAAAGAGAGGGAAACTTCTAGCCTGACCTTACATTAAATATGTTACATTAGCCCCTTTTCTGACATGGGATACAGGATATTGCTGCTTTCTCAGTCTGTTAAGTGACATTATTCTGTTATGTGGGGAAAAAAAAGTACCACATGCATAAATAATCAAACTCTCTTGCTTTTACAGACGCTCATAGCAAATCTGATGTGGCAAGTGTTTAATAAACTCAGAGGGAATACAACTACAAACAGCGAGAACCAATAAACTGACCTTCGGCTCCTGTTGATGTTTTGTCAAAGCATAGATTACCTTCATTACTGGTGAGTCTCATTAATCTGCTACAGATTCTGTCTTCATCAAAAGAAAGTTTTATTTTTCTGGACATTTCAGCTTGTGGTTTAATAGAGTGAAATTGTAACAAAATTCATGAAAAGGGTGTTTTGTGATTTTTGGCAGAAAACTGCGCTTTTGCTTTCTGTGAAGTTTTTTGACCAATGTTGCATGCCAGAAGGTGATAAAGTGTTCCTCAGATCACTTAGTTGAACTATGTTACTTGTGTCTATCTGACAGTGCAACTGCATGTAGTTCACACTTGTGTCATGTTGAAAGTGATGTGGAAATATTACTACATCTGACCAAGCAACACAACTTATACAGAAAAGTGAGTGTTCCTTCAGACATGAAACAAACACATTCAGATGCCATCTATGCAAAGACGTGCATGTCTGAGAGGGGTTAGTAAGCTTTAGCAGGTTGTTGTTGGGTTTCGTTTCCTCTGGATAGATGCTAAGCTAAGCTAATGGACTGCTGGCTGGAACAGTTTCATCATCTAACTCTCATGTTTTAACAAATGCAGAAAGTTGTACAGTCAGTGCCGACCGTCGCTGCAGCCTGATCTCACTTCACAGGTCGGCCCATCTTGGGAACTTCTGGATATACAAAAGGAAAAGAAAGAGTTTGCATCATCACATCTAATATATGAGGGTTAAAACTGTTCTTTGCTGTCTTTGTGTAGCTGACCAGGTCTTGCCGGTGGTCTGTGTTTGCTGGGGAGCTCGGAGCTGTCTCTGTAGTCTCTGGGTTTGGGGGTTTGGGGGTCTGGGACACCCGGCCGGAACTTAACGGGCAAAGGAGGCCGGTTGTGTGCCATCCCGGCTTCCGAGCGTGACGGCACCACCGGTTTCTTATGTGCTGACGGATGCTGGGTGACAGGAGCTGGAGGCTGAGGTTTGTTCTCAGAGCAGGTGAAGGAGCGGTTGCGTGGGGTTGGCACCGGGGGGCGATCAGGGTCTCCATCTGCTGCCTTGGAGGATGAAAACAGTGGATCTGGTGCAAGGTGATCCTTCTGTTGGTGCTCCTGGTCCTTGGACCGACTGTGTGATTTTCCCATTGAACCATACAGCGGGTTGTCAAGCATCTCTGTCAACTTTTCATCCTCACCTCTATAGACATTTGAAAAGTTAGCAAAATTTCACTTATAGTAGCCACAGATGTTATAATATTTTTAGCTTTGAATCAGGCACTTACGTGGAACAAACTTTCCCTGTGGGACTGCGTGCACCCACATCATAACCATCTTTCTTTGAATCTTTACCCCCTTGTCCGATGTTATGTTGGTTTCGTTTTGGCATGCTGTAACTCCAGCCTTTATCCGTCACATTCCCAGCTCTGAATGACAATCCCATGTAACTGGGGTTAGAAATATCATGAGCATGACTGGCGGACAACCTGTCAATCAGAGGAAAGAAATAAAATAAATCACACCCTGGGGTCATGCTTGAAATATTTTTTTAAGTAAGATGAAAAGTGTCTTACTTGTTGTCTCCGCCTTTGCCTTTTGAGGTGACTGGGTCATCCTTCTCGATTTTGATGAAATCTGAAAGTGAACAAGGCAAGTTTATTTCTAAAGCACAATTAATACACAAAGACAAGCCAAAGTCCATGTGTGGTCGATCGTTTAACTAAAAAATCCTCTCTTTGTGTCTAAGGTTTGGTCCTTTGGTTTATGAAACCCAATAGTCGAGTCCGTGGTTTTGAGACTGTCATTTATAAATAAGGTTTCAAGGTGGAAATGCTCAGCCATGATGTTGACTGCTTACTTCACTCCTGATACGTTTTCCAGCATATGATAAAACATCATATGGACATGCTAACATCGTGAAAGGATAGATTTTTGCCAGAGGCGGTCTTTAAAAAGAAAGAAAAACAGAATAATAACATTCCAACTTATATTAAAGAATAACAAAAGGAAAGACTTGAGGACAAAGTATACAATCAATAAAAGTAGAGACAAAATTAGCAAAAGTACATACAAGTTTAAATTTAAATTAATACGTTTACAGATTAAACGTGGTATATACTTAAAAGTACTGGAAATAAAATATATATATATATATAAATCGGTATGGGTGGGTGTATCTAAGTTCCAAGGGTAGCTGATTCTAGCTGTGGGCAGCAATTCAACTGAATGTATTTATTCAGCACCAATTCACAACGTAAGTCCACTAAAGACACTTCATATAATAAGGTCAAGTGGCATAATGGCTAAAAGCCATTTAACCATGTTTGATTTTAACTCCGAGCACCACTGACTGACCAATCCCTGCAGATCTCAGAGACTTGTTCTCAGCAAACATAGCTCTAAGTATTGAAGACTAATAGACAGTAAGTCGGACCTTAAATTCAATCCTTTATTTAACTTGAATTGAAGAATCGGAGGGAGGCATTCTCTCTTCTTGGTGTTTGTCAGTAATCACACAGCAGCATTTTAAATGAGTTGTAAATGTTTAAAGGTTTAACTAGGGAAGCCATTATGGTGGTTACTACATTAGTCCACTCTACAAGGAATATAGCTAACATCCAATAATGTGTGTCCACAGGGTTTGTCGTCCCACGCTTCGTATTCATTGTCAATGTAAACAGCCATTCTGGTATCTTTGCGATGCGTTTCAAGAATCAACACGTCACATTGGCCAATCCTAATTTGCACAAAGTTGAGGTCTAGGCTACTTTATGCCAGTCCAGGGTGTCCAGTGTGACTCGCTGCCTCCAGAAACTTCTGAAAAACTTCTAACCTAACTGTTGTTGATCTAAAATGTGGACAGATTCAGCAACTGCACAGCTCATTTCTCGCCTCAAAAATGTGATATAAGCAGATGTTTCTACATCAGCTGCCATGTTGGTCTAGTTTGAACTACATTTATGAGTGAAGCATTCATCCAATCAAGAGCAGCCAGTGTTTGCATGGGTGTAGGAGGGTGTAGCCTGTGTTGTTTTCCTGTTGGAGATCACCAAATAATCATCCATCATAACACTGCCTAGTCGTTTGTCCGTCAAGCACATAATGCTGAGAAGCAGTGGGATCCCTCGTGTATACAAACACCTCTGTAGGCATGTATCAGAAGGACATCCTCTAAATTTTATCATCTCCCTAAGTCCACTCACCCCTCTGCAGACATCCATGTGCAGTCCAAAATGTGGGTTGCCACTATGTTACAAGGGTATTATTGCACATGTGCCATGCAAGCAGACGAGAATATTGGTGTAAGCACAATAACTACGTATTCGTGGTGTCTGCAGTTGTCCATATGTGCAAAGGAACATAATCAAAGCTTTACATTTCCTGCGAGTACACAAGAGTCTATGGGATACAAATTCACCATCTCCCCAAGACCACGAGAGTCTGCACTGACCCTTATGTGGGCACATGCATGAGCTCAACATTCATGCTCACTTTGAGAATTTGCTACAAAGGCAATTGTGCACATGCTTGGCACTAGTGACCTGTGTGGAATACGTAGATACGTACTGCACATGTATGGAACGGGAACCTCCGAGCAGACTAGACAAGTAGTATACCAACAACTAGGTATCCATGGTGTCCATAAAGTATTTTATCACCAAGGTTTAAGTCTTGCTTGGGTGTATTTAAGGTGCCAGAATGACGACCTAACTACAGCTCCAACTTGGATGCTGAAACTGAAATGCTTTTTCAGTGATTGCAGATTAAGATTCTTACACAGTAAAATAACAACAAATGTTTCAGGATCCCGTAAGTCAGTCCTAAGCTGAGCATTACCGTATAGCTTCTCAGTGGGCTTCCCTTCGGAGGTGTGTAACTGGATGCCACCTGTCAAAGTACCCGTCTTCTCTCCGTGGTGCGTCAGTGTGATGTGGAACTCTGTGTAGCAGAACTGGGCGGCTCGCAGCGCCACACATCCCTCTCCTTTGGGAATATCACACCAGCAGACTGTAAGCACTGCTCAGCTCAGCGGAATCTGCATCACAAACTGCATTTAGGAGCTCATTACCATACGACTCGTCGCAGTCGGTCGACTTCACACAGATGAGAATGTGCTGGTCCAACAGGTACTCAGGGTCGGAGATGATGGGGGTGAGCTTGAAAAGTCAGACCATAAGTGTTAATAACTGATGCCACAGCAAAATCATTTTCTACATAGACAGCTGCAACCTCATTTACCTGAACTTGGTTGCCAAACCGAACTTTTATGGAGCCGGCAGGATGCTCTACGTTCTCTCCCTCTGAGGTCTTCACTGTCTCTGTTGGAAATAGTCTTTTTTAATAATATATACCATTTAAAATCCAAAGAGATGTGGTCAGTCATAAGAGACAGAGCATACTCTCCAAGCAGCTGGAATGGAATTCGATGAAGAACTTGGTCTTTGATTTTGTCAACAAGGTGGCCACACAGTTCATGATTTGTATTCCACCTTGAGGTGCGCTGTCTGGATCTGAAAAATGAAAAAGACTAAACATCAGACTGCAGACTTTGGTGCAGATGGCATCTGCATTGTGGCTGAGTGGTGATCGTACCCTGCTTGGAGACAAACTGTGAGGCGACACCGACTTCAAACGAGGCAAAAACCGGCGAGTGGTCGCTTGTCATGATGTCGTTAGTGCAACCTGCAAGTTAAACAGTTTCATCAAATATTTAGGGTTTTTTCTTTATTCTCTACAATGTAGAACAAAACTAAGAAATAACACATGACTTTATATAGTAAATGATAAAGTAGAATTTAAAAAAAAGGGTCTGTATGCCTTGATGACAGGTTTTCACACTTTTGGCAAACACTTAACCAGCTTATGAGATTGCTACCTGGAATGTTAGAAGTAAGTAATTAGCTGGATTAAGTAGTTGGAAATTACTTAGAAATTCTTGGCCTGCAACGTTGTTTTTAATAGGGAATTACTCACCGTATGCTTGGCAGAAAACATAAACCAGAGGAAATGACTTCCACAGGACGCGATCACACCACGAAGGCAAATTGTATTTTGTCTGTAGAGGTAAATCAGCCGTACGTACATTAATACTAAACATAAAAGTATGAACAGTCAAGGTTGTAAAGCATTTTAAACATTAAAAACAACTGCTGAAATGTTGGGAGTTGGATTTAAGCCATGATTTGTTTATTTTTTTTAGATTTTTGAATCATGTGAGTTGGACGCGTGGTAATGAAACTTCTGGTGGAAACACCAGCGAATATTCTTGCCTGTGTGGATCAATGGAGGTTTGTGTTCACTGGTGTAGCCGCCTTCATAGTTTCGGCACTACGAGGCTCAGCGGGAGCCATACAGGTTTAGACATCTGAATAAACACAAACTTACCCCCGTGGCTTTGGCCTTTGTGTAGGCATACTTCTCTCGCGTGTCTCTTTCAAAGCGATATGTGGGTGCGAAGCTGATTTCCTCTTCATCTACAATCAAAATAAACTTGTTTTTTTTAGTTTTGATGTATGCGTACAATCAATGGGAGCATTGGGTGATGAACAGAGCAGAGTTTATGTAGAAAACCAAACACTGGAGAGCTACGCTACACCATCTGCTGCTGTATTGCTGCTGCTGTATAATCAATCTGTATTGATTAACATTCTGCAAAGCTCACCAAAATGCAAGAAGACCTTTCCCTCAGTCCTCTCCATGCTGAGCTGGTCTTTACTGAGGAGTTCCTGGTACTGCTGCTGTTTGATCTTTGTCACAATGTACTCAGCTTCCTGTGAAGGGAAACAGTGCAAAGAGGTGACTTTCCTGGCAGAAAGTTTTCACAGCTGAGAGTTCAGACACCTGCCAACCACCACGCTCTTTTATTTAGCAGTCACTGACACGCAGCACCGCTCGATCGATAATTCCGCATGACAAGACAGTATCTATAATGTTTAAATGTAAAGATCAGATGCAGATCAAATATTTGTGTCATCATTAGGAATAATTATAATAACCATTCTGTACGACTCACCGTAGATGGGAATTCTACCCGGTAGTTCAGATCTCCAAGCCAGAAGAGGTGCGTGAACTGATGTGTGATATCAAACGGATTCAGCTTCTTATCTCCCAGATTCAGAAATCGCAGGATGTTGGTGTAGTTTTGATTGCGTCTGCAAATACAGGAAGAATTATTGCAGAAACATCAAAAACAATTGATAAGGACACATAGATTTATAAGGCAGCTAAGTGTGGAGTCAGCGAAAAAGAGACAAACAAATGACACATTAGGAAATTGGTTGTGTTTTCCATAATAATTGTAGCTCACAGAAACATGTTAAATTCAATGTAGATGCCTGCATTAAACAGTGCTAACGCCACTTAAAATTAAATTTACTTTATGATAATAATATATATCAGTAGCTATCATTGTAGATCAGGTGATCATCAAATTATGTTTATGTTTTATTTTACAAAAATGCCATATTCAAACAAAAAAAATAGCAAAACATTATCAGAAAAGTGAAAAATATAAGTAAATACATCACTTCTAATAAATAAAAGCTGAGGATTCTACTTTATGTTTCTTATCGAGGTCATAGTGGATGATGGTGGTGTACAGGACCCCATTACATTTGCAAATGTTCTTAATATTTTGTCCACCCCATGAACATGCATGAGGGTGGATGAACTATTGGGAACACAGTCCTGTATAACAACAACATTCAATGTGAACTTAACAAACATTAAATACAAACATCACCTTTTTGACAACATCAACAAAAAGAAAAGATATAGAAGCATCAAAAAAGTAGAACTTATGGCAATGCTGTCATATTGGATTGTCCCAGATGTACCTAACAAAGTGGATGTATATTTCTTTTTAAAAAACATTTGAATATTGATGTATTCAGCTATGGTCGCATTTTGTCATTGTTGGGGATCCAAATAGGTACTTTTTTCTCCCCAAGTAGTGCCTGCAGAGCTGTGCATACAGCTCGACCAATATATACAGTGCACAGAGAACAGTATCTACAGTCCACTATTAGAATTGGTCAGGTTAGTGTATTCACTGAGTAGTGCTCTCAGAAATTACATGGTGGACTGGGCTTAGGGTGCATGTATGACATGCATGTAGTGCATGTGTGTACAATCCTTTTAATAGGTGCAACATGATGATGATTCGTGAGTAAATTTTAAATTACTGTTCACTATTGAGTGATTTCGGATTGTTATGGAGCTCTGTATGTACCTGAGAGTAACATCCAGGGAAAAAAGCCCGCTTATTCTGAACATTTACTGCTATGAATGCACCAAACATGAAAGTGAGTTGATAAAGAGTAGGATTTTGAAAAATGAGTGGGACATATACCACTCCATTCACAGTGGAAATGATAACTTTGGTTATGCTCATTTATAAAGTTATTAATTCATTCAAAGGAAATGTTATTCAAAGTGTAACCTGCAGCTCACCTGAGCTTCTTCTCACTTCCAGACGTCAGGTGACTGTTGACAAACCCAAAAGATGTACCGTTGAACATGAAGGAGATGCCCACTGCTCCTTTGTTTCCTGCAAACCAAACATCACAGTGAGTACTGATGAATGGTTGTTCAGTTTCTTATAGGTTGTTTAAAGCTTTCTGGAGAAGTGTTCACCCAAAGTGTTGGCGATCCCTGTCTTCACACTGTCTGAAAAGACATGGGAGATCCTATTTTCGTGCTCAGGCTTGGCCAGGACAATGATCCGAATGTTCCACAGCGTGTGAATCGCCACCTGGGTGGTCAGAGTTTAATGCATTACTGCTCTGCTGCTGCATTCAGCTGTAACTTACTTTGTTAGTCAGAGTCACTCACTTGTTTGAAGCTAATGTTTGTGATGTTCCTTAGGACACCTTTCACCGTGTCTGCCCACTCCCTCTCACCCAGAGGATCCTCCTGAGTCCCGATGACGTAGAAATCATGTGGAATGTGATCTGCAGTGTCGTCTTGTGTCTTCCCTTGGCCTTTACACTGAAACCAAGACTTGATGTTGTGGGGAGGACCAGCATTGCCTGTGGGGTTTGTGGATCAGTTTTTATATTGTCAGCAATAAATCCAAATTTACCCAAGCTCTGAAGGTGTTAATATAAATGTTACCCATGTTCCAGGTGCCAACAAACACTGTGATCATGTCCGGTTCAGGCTTTTCCGAGTGTTTGTTCTTCATCAGTTGAAGCAGCTGACAGAAACCTTCTCTTTTCTGGAGTAAAAGGAAAAGAGAATCTCAAACAGTGCACATAGTTGTGGACAGAATAAAAGGATGTCAGAGAAAACCTTCAGTATTAGACTGATTAGGATGATTACCTTTGCATCATCAAACACAAACTCTTTGCGCAAAATCTTCTCTTTCTCTGTCTCCACCACGATGACAAGTTTGGCATGCATTTTCTGGGATTTCACCAACTGCAGGACTGAAGAGTAATCACAATACTAACAATATTAGCACGAGTAAGAGTCTCCAGCCACTGAAGCAGCTCTGGATGGCAGCTATGCACAGCAGTGAATTGAGGCTGTGCAGCGATTTTGGCATAGCAGTGAAACCCTGTTGCTACAGCCTCCACATTTGTCATAGATGCACACATAGATGCATACACCGAATAAAACACTTTCTCAACAAGACAGTCATTGGAAAAGCATCAACTGTTAAACAGTGAATATAATCTTGTTTGTGTATGCGCTCTACAGGCTCAACGGACAGATAAAATGCACATGCTGTATGAGCCCAAATTTGCAAAAGCATGCAGAACATCAGGTATTTCATGGTCAAAGTTAGAAAACATTTTTGCCAAATGCACTACTAAGCAACTTCCACTCAAATGAATAAAAGTGCTCTTGTATGATCAGGTGTCTAGTTGCCCTTAATACATCTATGATTATGGTCTGTTTAACAAAAACATCAAATCTGTCGAAGTTTGAGTCTAGTCAGAGACGGTAAGAAAGATGGATGTAGCCTCCAAGTCTAAACAGTGAAGTCAATGTGAACGTACTTTCAAACTGCATTTTTCTCTCTAATGTCCAGCAGGGGGCGAAACCTCTGGTTAAAAAAAGGGTCTAATTGTATGAAAGTCTATGAGAAAATTATCCCACTTCACATGTAAACTGTTACCTCAGTAAACATTTTCCTAATGAGTTTATGGTCTCAATCTGTAATTTAAAGTCTCCCTTAGTACAACATGACATTCATTTTGTAAATATCGGTGCCATTTTCAGGAAAACAGTAAATATAGCAGACATCATGGTAGCTACATCCATATTTTACATGCAGTCTCCAAGCTGAATTGCTCTAACCTTTGTAGGTGAAGCCAATCACTGTTGACCACTACTTTAACATAAAGAAAATACTAATTAGCCTTCTTGTGTTTTTAAATTTTCAGAGCTGTAAAATAAAAATGACAGCTAAAGCAGTGGTGTCAATTATATTTAGTGTCAAGACACTGAACTCCAGCTCAAAAAAACATACTTTTTAAATAGACTTTCTGTTTATTTGGCAAAATACCAGAGATTCAGTGTAGATTCAGTTACCAGGTTTGTTATAAAACACAGTGAGAGACATAGCAGTGTACTGCTAACACTATTACCATTACGGCTAAGGAGACACAGTGACTACTGTGAAATACAACATAGATACTGTGCTGACCAACACACAGCATGCAGTTCAAGGCCTTCGTAGTTCAGCTGTAATGAAGGCTAAAAACGTCAAAGTTGCCAATCCAAGTTTCATTTCAATCCATCCAATAGTAATCAAGACATTTCACCAAAAAGCTCAAAATTTCAAACTAATGTTGTCCGAGTAGAAAAGCCAGGGGATCACCAGAGTCAACAGGACTGACCTTCTTGGTGATCGTGAACAAATTTCATGGCAATCCATCCAACAGCTAGAAAGATCCAGTGGTGGACGGAATGACTGAAAAACTATTGCTGGAGTTTAATTGCTAATGTTGATAAAATGTAAAGGAAGGAGGCTGCAGATTCCTTACTTTTATTGTGCACAAAGTATTTGTCTTCAGGTCCTTCTTTGGACTTCTTAAAATAGAGCTTCCCTCCTTCAACATCCACTTTCAGGAACATCTTTGTGGGAATGGCAAGAGATTCTTGCTTGACCTGCCAGTGAAAGAGGAAACAGATCAGCTAATCTGCAAAACTCCAGACATTTGATTGCATGTCTTTTTTTTCTGCAGTGTTATCTAATTTAAAGAAGCACCTCAAACGTAACAATCGGTATGAGAGATTTCCTGTGACCGCCATCATATCCAACAGACTCAAAGACAGAACTTTTAGCCTGAAAAAAGAAGAAATAGAGAAGTGCTTTGTCATCTGACATCACCTGTTGGCATGTTAAGAACCAGTGAAACAAGGACGGTACTTTACCTTATCTTCTATTGAGTAGAGCAGCTTTGTCAGTTGCTCAAGCCGATAGGATACAGATGGACCTGAATCAACAGAAATCTGAAAATAAAGGAAGTAATACATGATGAGAAGGGATTTTTGTATGTGTGTCAAGACGTCTGTAAAGGATTGAGGATTACACCGACTTGTTTCGGGACGTGTCCAATCCCTGGAGAGAGCTGCTGGTCCAACGCTCGATGAAAGACTTCCAGGGCTGGCAGGATGTGGGAAATTTCACTGTCTCACAAAAAGATCAAAGTATGGTTAAATCAACTCCAGACATGATAGTCCATATATGTGAACTGGTAACTCTACCTGTTCAGATTCTTGCATAGCGCCATCATTAGCTTCCTCAGTCCGGGGAGGTTTGGGTTACCGTTCTGTGCTTGTTCAGCGTCCAAGCAGATCGAAGACCTGAAGTATTCCTGGATCGCTACTTGATGTTCCTCTGTTATTCTTAAGACATAAGACAAAAGCTCTTTAATCATCCAAATCCCAAGAAATTTTTTTTTTTGCTCCTGTAACATTTTTACTCGCTGTGGCCTCATTTTTCACTGCAACATAAAGTCTGCACCTTCATGAAAACAGCACAACTATGGCTAGATGTAGAGAGAACTCAAAAATGTCTTGCACAGCTTAACATTTATAATGCCATAAATCCTAAAATTTATTTTATTTTTTTTATAATTTTGAAAAAAAAAAAAAAAAGTGTTACCAGTACTGGAAAAAAAGATTCCTGAATACGATATTTCACTATTTACATTTTTTACAATCCATACAAATGGGGCACTTTTCACACTACTTTGCGCATCCGCACAAGAAAGCTACTTCACCATGCTGAATGCTTCCAGCAACTTGCTGACAATCTACACCACTGTATACTGTATTTGAGTCATGCTGCATGTATTGGATTGGCCAAGTGTTTCATTTTCCTCTAAATCTCTTGTAGCCTCATTTCTCTGTTCAGCCACAAAGTCACTCAATTTTTGGTCACAGCTGAGTCAAACATGCATTCTCAGTTGTGCTGACGAGTGCAGAATTGTTGAATTGGAATGAGACAAGTGTAATAAAGGGATTTTAATGAACTATCATGATTTTAAATTTAAATTTGGCACATTTTTCGGAGGAGGCTTCATTTCAGACATGATTCATTCATGAGCTATCAGAAACATGAAACTTCAATGATTCTTTCAATTTTTATGGTTTCTTATGATAATAATAATAAAATAATAAATGATCTAATTTCGGGAATGTTTACTAAAATAACATACCTTTCAAAACCGTGAGCTACTGGGTAATAACATGTGAACTGGCTACAAAATATTTCTGGTTGTTTATCTAACCTTATCTTATCTTATAACTTGTTGTGCAATTGAAACTGCTAAAGTGCGTTAACCATACGTGGACAAGTCCATGTGCTGCAGCCTCATCAGGAAGGAGTCTGATAAGGACTTGCACTGCTGTTCAGAAGCCTTGGAGTCATCGGCTGTGAAGTGTCTGGGTGGAAGCTGCGGTGGAAGACCCTCTACAGCACAAATACATACAGAATGTTGAAGTTTTTACGTTCTACATATTGTATTTCCTCATAAAGTGATAAAATGAAGTGTTTTTTTAAACCTGGCTCCTCGTCGACCTCCTCCTCCCTCTGGACCGAGTACTGCAGATGTGTGATCAGACCCATGTTGGGGCTGTAATATGCCTCCACCAGCTCAGGCAGCATAGTGAAGAACCTTATAGGAACTCCTTCAGAGGCCTGCAGAGCAGATCACAGCAGAATCATTTTCTCACATCTCTTTAGGCATAAAAAAGGATCTGAAATGTCATGTGTTTCTATTGTTCCAATTGAGCTTTTTCTTTTGGTCTCTTGTTACTAAACCAGGTGACATAACCTTTGAGAGTTACTTCCTATATGATGTCAGATGTTAGGTACGTCTGTGTTTTTTTCCAGCTGCGTTTGTTTCATCAGCAGTTACCAAAGGAGCTCTTTAGTGTTGTTCTAAGAGGTGCCTTCTCTGGCTACTAAATTCAAAAGAACTATAATCTTTCACTTTAAAATTCACAGCTGCTAGACTGTTACAGATAAAGTGATCCACCACACTAATACAGCTGTTGGTGTCACTATACTTGAAATAGAAAGGTACAAGTACTCTAACCCAGCAGCAGTATTATATCTGATGCATGTACAAATTTTATTAAATATCCTACTTACAGTAAGTAATATGCACAAACCTGCATGTTTAACCTTCTCGACTAAACTACCTTGCTAATTTTACTTCACAAATTGTTTGCCTCTTCTGTACAAAAACACTGCTGTAGTATCACAGAAAGCTAACATGCTAATACGCCGTACCAAAGGACCCATTCATGCTCCAGTACTCAGCACATTTGCACCACTGAAAGTTTCCATTTTAGGCCACAGATTTGCATATGAAATGTTTTCATGCTTATCAAGTTCCCCAAACATAAATCATTACTATTCTGTATCTTAAACAATATGCTGATGATACTCAGGTATATCTCCCTACTAAAAGACAACCCAACATATTTTTTCTATTTATTCAGTTAAATGGCAAAGGTGAGAACAGAAAAAAAAAACAACCCAATGTAATATCCGCTGATCTTCAGCTTGAAGTCACGCTTGCTTTTATTGCTGCTAACTAAGTGACTGCAGCTTCCTCAGTTCCTGCCTCCAGCTCAAATAAAGCAGAGCCCTTCAGTATAGACTGAGCACAAAACACAAAGTAGGCATTTGTTCAGTGAATCTTATTACACCTATACACACATTGAATCACTATTCTATAAAATTATGAATGTAAATTAATATTAAAGCCTCAGCTTGGGTTTAATAGATACATTTGCACCGTCACATTTGCAAGTTTTACACTTTCAGAGTCTTAAAGTTAGAAGTGCATTCATGTGGTGCCAGCGTGATCGGAAAATGAATGGGGACGCCCCCTCAAATCAGACCAGCAACTTGGAAAGTAGGCAGACATTTTGGTACACCACTTAGATCACATACACAGAAATGTGACAAACACAATAAATGTTTGATTTCTGCTAAGAAATTTGATTAATGGTGCACTTGGATTTCACTGAGAAGTTAGTAGCAGTAAACTTGCTATCAAGTCAGGTAAAGCAACATTTTAGTGCTGCTGTCAATGTGTCATTTTAAAGCTCTGAGCAATAAAATATAAGGCTGCATTATATGCCATATTTTATTCAACATTATTTACTTCTTAACTTTTATTTTTATTTTTTATGATATCTACAACACAGAGTTTGTTGACATACAGGCTCCATGCAACACCACATGTATGGAAATATTTCAGATACAGAAGCGATCAGAAGCGATTGGCGGCAGTGTCTTGCATTTGTTGCCGCTATGTGAGGCAACACATCTAAATTGTTTCACCATTTAAAGCAGAACCACAAAGCCACCAAAAACAGAGTTATTCAGGTCGTCTGGTAAAAATCTCTGGATTTTTTCACATTAAAGTATATATTGCAGAAAAACAAACTATCACAATTGGGTTTTTTTTTGGTTTTTTTCCAAGTCCGAGTCTGCAGTCATGTTCACAGCTACGAGAGGCTGTGCAAAGGTGTAGCAACACTTTGAGCTAAATGTGTCTACATGCTAACGCACTGACCATCCTAATAAAGTGTGATAGCATCCCCTTTGGAAGCACAGTAATACGGATAAGATTAAGAGGAATGCTGTGAGTTTTGCAGATAATTGATCATAAACCCAACTGCAGTTTATCCTCAGAGGTGCATGAATGCAGGTATCAAAATTTACACCAATGCATCTAAAACATTGACGAAACAAAAAAAAGACAACCATCCCCCTAATTGTGGCGTCTCAGGAAAAAATTCAGAGAATCACTTAATTTATTAGGCTTCATTCTTTGTTTGCTTCTCACTACTTTTCTTTTTTTAAATCTTGCCTTTACCCTCGACCCGATCCCTCAAGGCAGATGACCGCCCTTCCTGAGCCTGGTGCCGCCAAAGTTTTTTTTCTGTCAAAATTAAATTTTATTTACTTAAGAGCTGCTCAGAAGGAATTGTTTGCAATTGTTGGGTTTCTCTCTACATTATAACCTTATAAGGTTTTCACCAAACTATACGAAGTGCCCTAAGTTGACTTGTGGTGTAAAATTATATATATGAAAAGAATGTACTGAAACTAAAACCCTTAGCTTACCACAGACGTCTGCAATAACGTTCACTGCAATTTATTTTATAGTTGCTGAGATCAGTGGAGGATGGTTATTGCCCGTATAAATATGCTGCACTTTTAAAAATATATGTTGCAAGTGTACGGCTGCATTAACAACAGCTGTGAACCAGCATTTATTTTGCATATTCTAAGCAAAATAGTATTTTATCTTTATAGTAATATTGTAGGGTCATAACTTTGATATTTAAATTAGTCATGTAAATTTGACAATAAATAATACTGTAAAGTCTTTGCCTCGATATTTGAAGGTATACGATAAATTTGTAGCGTCAATCTTATTTGTCTACTAGAAAGCAGCTTGGCTCAACGTCTGTTGTTTTAAATGTGCTGTATGAATAATGGTGACCTTTTCTTTTTAAGGTGCTTTTTCGCATCTGTTGTCGTCTTGTTTTAACTTCATGTTATTGTTGTTAAGTTTTCTTCTGGGTATTCTGCTTTTGCGTTGTCTATCTAAGCACTTTAAACCCTTGTTCTAAAAAGTCCCTTATTACTAAAGTTATACTGATTATTATTATTGTTGTTAAGTCATGGGACTTTGCACCGAACATGATGGCGGCTTGCATCAATTTGTCTACCCACCTGGACAGAAAGCTTCTTGTCCTCATTTGGCAGGATTCTGTATGTGTACACACAGTTCAGGTATCTGTGATCAAAACAACAAAATGCAAATATCTGTCAGCGGGATATAACATAATAGATATGTTAGCCAGTGTCTGGTCCTTTTAAATGAAAAATGACAAGCAGAGGGCAAAGGGTGGTGCTTTGTGGCAGCACAGTATGCAAATAAAGGGGAACTAGTCTTATGTTGCAGTGTGCAAAAAAAAAAAAGTGATATGATACTGTGGAATAAAGCAGGGGGAACTATAACTTTTAATCATTTTTTTGCACAAATGATGATATTTAGAATTCATTTTCTCTCACCAAACACCCAAAACATACAGTACAGCAGCTACATCTGTCATTAGTCGTGATACATTAGTCGTACAGGTCATTTCGCATGTTACGAACGGGCATGAATCATCATCAGCTGTACGAAAGCGAATTAAAATCACCTGCAAGCTACGTTTGCAATAGTAAAAAACAAGCAACTTACAAAACACAGAGGGCATACGCTCCCTGTATGGACTCACTGTCCCGGATAAGGAAGCTTCCATCTCTCGCTGCCTTGGAAAGTAGATCCTCGGCTTTGGATCGAGTTATATTACCATGGTACCAAGGTTGATAACCTGGCATCCTGTTTCCAACCCAAGAGCCTGAGCTCAAGAGTTTTGCATCTGCTCTTTAACAAAAAATAAACGGCAGCAACCTACGTAGACTCAGTTTTTCTTTCTGGCTATTTTCATCTTCTCGCTGTGCATACTTTTAGGTCCGTTCTTTCACTTGTTCATGGTCTGCCTCTGCAAGCTGTAAAAGGAAGCTGCTACTAGCTCGACTCTGAACTTCCTCATTTGAGAAGTTACAGAGAGGAGGGCCTCCACTCTGCTGCTTTATGACAGATCCCCACAGCTGTGAAATGGAAATGCAGACTTTAATCATTGTCACACTACTGTAAAGATTAACCAACATATTGACCTCTTTAGTTTCCGTACACTTAATGGTGAACTGCTCAGATAATAGTGAATGTAAAAAACAAAACAAACCCTGAACTGAAAGAAGTGAAAAGGGGAAGTAACATGATGATTCTTTCTGGTTACAGTGAAAGAGTTGACTGATAAATAACAATACAGGAGGCTTCATTTGGCTTTTATGTCCACTTTAATGCTCAAATCATATTTGATTTAGAATAAAAACAAGCGCTCATGTTCACCCTCTGGCCTGAGTGTAACTGCTACACTTTAATTCATCTTACATGAATCAGGGGAGCTTGAGTGCTTTTTGAAATGCATACATTCAGGAAACACAACTTTAGAATGGCTTGCCATGTTCATGTGATGGACAGGAAGTCTTGCAGAAATAAGAGGAGGAAAATAAGCCACTCACAAACCACAACATAGGTCACATGATACGAAAAGAGAACTACATGGTGACAAGTCTGTGCAGCCTCGGAGGTTTCTGTCTCAGCGCTCGAAATAGGTCTGCCACTTTCACGGCGAGCATGTCAAAGCCTCAGACATGGAGGATGTGAAATCATACTTTTGCTTTCGCGACTGCAATGTTGTGTTCACATAGTTTTTATGTAACAGAAATGACAAGCAGATGTTATCCATGCAAAAAAAGGAATGAAATGTGAGTCGGTCATTGTCATACAAGTCAACTGGTGGAGTGTCTGTACAGTTTTAATGAGCAGATGGCGCATTTTTGCCACAGAGAATTACGTAATAATTACTCACAAGTTGAACTTGAACAAGCTTTCAAGTAAAATAGAACAATGGTTAATAGTTTGCCATACAATAGTGCAATATAAATGCATAGAAGAGCTAAGAAGCTGGGTGATGAAGAAAATACAATATTTACAACGGCGATTTGTCAAGCAAAGTAAACATAATACTGGTGTCTTGGGGCAATTACAAAAAAAAAAAAAGTAACTGCTGTGTCCTCATTCACTTATTCATTAGTCCCTGTATACAACATTTAGCCACGACATTAAAACCACCAGTAATAAATACTACTACCTCACATATCCACCCACTGACAGGCACCATTGTAATATATCAGTGATATTCATTTCAAGTGGTTTTATTGTTGTGGCAATCAGTGTACATTGTAGACAATGGTGGGCAGTAAACTGAGATATCTGACTCCCACTAGTCAGCATCAGTTTAACCTGTCGCTTTAGCCTGCAGAGGTTCACAGCAACAATTTGTGAATCTATAAAAACGTGATGTGGTGCACCGTCATGTGGGATTTTAAGGGGACAGTAGTGCACATGCTATGAACCCTACAACTGTGTGGAGGGCTTTATATATAGATCAGGTATCAGAATTCAGATGTGACTGTGTTAAATGCAGTAAAATGCTATACAGCTACAAGCAGGTGCAATGTTTGACAAAATCCACAGTCTTGTTCGCAGCTCCACAAAGAATGTGAGCTAAATGCTAACACCAGCAAGCTAACATGCAACAACAATGCTAACACACTGACGTTTAGCAGGTATATTAACATATTCAGCAACTTTGTTTGTTGTATTAGCTAGCTAACATGTGCCAATTAGCACTGAGCACCTTTTGCAAGTTGTTGGACACAAACAAAAGTAAAAATTTTGACTCGATACTGACACTTTAGAAAAGCACTAAATTTATGCAGTTTCGACAAGATTCACACACAGTATCTGTAGCTTCATTGCAAATATTTTATATTGGATTACAAAGCCCTGCTGCTAGCAAAGGTTAATTCACCCTTTGAAAAACAATTTTAAAAAAGCAATAAAACTTACGACTAATTAGTATTCAGAATTTTTGGTGTGCAATACAAAACAGTAATAGGAAATATATATTACAAGTTGAGTATGTACATGTTTGCTCAGTCTTTAGGTGTTTGACACAATTCCCTGGCCTCCACCAAATGCTCTGGATGGAAGGAACATGTTTCTAATATGAAATATGACCCAGCAAAGCAATTTAATAATATTGTTGCATGAGCATTTAAAAAAAAAATTTTTTATTTTTTTTTATCGTATCTGGAACAGCTTTACTGGAACAACCAACTTTGTCTTGGGATGAAGACTGTTCAAGGCAGCAGGTGGCAGAAGTAGTAGCTGTCCAGAATTAAAATCTGCTCAGGTTTTAGGGTTCCATAATTGAATCTCTGAGCTTTTTAGTCAAACTTTTTGTAATTTTGCAATTCTGTAGACTCTGTTCGTCGGAGTAAGTTAAGACAACTATTCTGGACCTGAACAGTGAAAATCCCACCCAAACCTGACATGCATTTATTGATTGAGAGCACAGCCAGTGTGACAAATCTTAGAATAATTCAACCCAATCCAAATGCAGTCAACCAAACAGATTCTATCAGACAATGAACAATAACAATGACTCAGATCAACTGACAAGCAGCTGCGGTGGGAAAGAGAGGCAATATAATAAGTATAATTTGAAAAAAATTCAAGTTAGAGAAACTTGAATAATTGCTTTATGTTTAGGAGGCAAAGTTATATTAAAAATGAAGTACTTTATCCACTTGCTGCATCAATAATATGAGTTGTTTGAAATGAAAGAAGATGATACCACTTTGGTTCACCCAGGTCCACTCAAGTATTTGACATACTGGTACACAGACCTGAGACCACATCTGATTAGATTTAGTAGACTTTGGTCAGATCTTGTTCCTCAGAATCATGTGGATCCAAGACCTCAAATGATAAGAACCAACAATTTCTTACAATTTGATGTTGATGACAGTGGCATTTCAGAAGCATAGAAACAACATGGTTTGTCTGGTTTTTAATCTGATGATGCCACAATTGTAAATAGTTTGATTTGATCCAAAAGTACCTCGTTGCTTTAAACTGTGAGAATCATTCTTTAGTTTAGAGTTAGACACATTCCTTTGTTCACACTAAAGATGTTTAAGCCTGTGAAGGCTCAGTGAATAGCATGTAAGGTGGATGCTGGAACTAAGGCTTAATGTCAAAGTGAGCCGTCAGTCAAGTAAAGGCAATGGTCAATGCATAGTCAGACCAAAGTTGGTTGTGTTGGAAAAGCATTTAGTCATCACAGATTTGTAGATCCACTTCAAACGATTCTTCCTCAGAACTCAGACTTTGCGCTCACGGAGCTCTCATGCGTTCCCTTTAACTCTCCACTGGTGGCTCCGGACATTCCTCCCTTATCTTTACAGAACAGTCGCCTTAGCGTGCCACGAAATTTCTCCGCCCCAAATAAGTAAACCAGCGGGTCCATGGCACCATTCAGGCAGGTGAGGGAGGAGGTGAGGCGGTTGGCCAGGCTCAGGCCTCTTCGTGTTTGGCAGGAATTGTCAGGGTGGTTGTAGCCCAGGATGAAGGTGGCTCTGCTCATGTGGTAGGGCAGGAAACAGACCACGTAGATAAGCATGACCAGGCCAATGGTGCGCAGAGCCCGCAGCTTTAGGGCCGGTTCCAACCTGGAGCCTCGATGCAGGCTGTGGATGATGAGGAAGTAACAGGACAGGGTGGCGAGGAAAGGAGGCGTGAAGGCCACAGCCAGGGAGATCAGTGCTTTGCGTGAGGCCTTCTCTCTATACAGTTGCATGCACACTGTCATGTTGTCCACCTCAGCAGTCTGATGGGTGACGAGCAGCGGCGCCATGGAAACAGTAACCAGGACCCACAAACAGAAGCTGATGATGTGAGCGTAGCGACTACGACGGACCTTCAGCGACCTCACAGCGTGAACCACAGCCAGGTAGCGATCACCTGCCACACAGGCCAGGAAGTACAGGCTGGCGTACATGTTGACATAGAACAAGAAGCCCACCACCCTGCAGGGCACCTCGCCTAAGGGCCAGTGGCCTCCGGTGAAGTGGTAGATAGCTCTGAGTGGGAGGATGATCACATACGATAAGTCGGCCACAGCCAGATGAATCAAGAAGACGTTAGCTGGAGAGGACGTTCCCCGCTGTTGAGAAAAGATCCAGAGAGCCAAGCTGTTGCCGCTCAGCGCCAGGATGAAAACCACGATGTAGAACCATCCAAACAGCTGGTTCTCAATCGTTGTTTCCAGTGGTGTACAGCTCTCTGATGTCTGATTGGACAGCAGTTCCATTGTAGCTGACTCCATTTTGATGGCTGAGGAGACAGAAATTGATATAAATTTATCTTAAAAGCAATTCTGAGGCATAACTAGAGATGTTTTAAAACCTTAATAAAGTAACAGGACAGGTTCCCAGTGACAGGAAAGCATGACAGCCCAACCCTGTCCACTTACACGACACAGAAACAGGCAGGGAGAGTGATTGTCACAGTGCCAGTTTCACAAGGTAACAATGGACATCAGTGTCCCTGGTTAATGTGCAAATGCCCTCAGAGCATGCATTTCCTTCTTTTTGACCACTACAAGAACTAATTAGACTTTTTCTACAAAGCCCAGGAAGTCAGACCGAGTTGTTAGATCTTCTCTCTGCAGAATAACTGGCCTGCAGCCTATTTAACCAGCAACAACTGTTTCTTCTAGACTGAATGACAAACTCTAAGGAGCATATATCATTAAGCTTTAACTGTTAAAGGTAAACATGTTTGTGTTAGGCCATGCTGTACTACAACAGAGTATAACTAACAATATACTATAGAACATTAAAAAAAATACAATTATTTACAGTACCAGCAGAAAATATTAAACTCATGGTAGCATAGCAGCAATTATGACTGAAAATGTGTCTGTCATCACTTGAATGAAAGGGATTTGAAATTTTTGGAAATGCATTTGTTTGTTTGTTGTTGTTGGTTTCATGAGAAAACTGACACTGCTTTTATATCTGAAATTTGAAAAAACATGTTAGCATAGCTGAGTAACAATTTACCTGTCATCCTGCTAACAGGTTTAAATAAAATTTTATATCTAATGAGCTTAAGATAAGGAAAGATCAACTTTATTGATCCTTCACCAATTCTGATTTTACAGCAGCTGGATGCAGAAAAAGCGTAACAGAAGCAGGACAAGAGTTACAAAAGTCCAATAAGGCTAAAAAAATAAATAAATAAATAAAGGTCATAGTAATAAAGGTCTCATAGAGACATACCAGGCATTAGGAGATACACATGATGTTATTACACACAAGGAGCTGCAAGAGAACAGTGTTATGCCTATATCATACAACAATATAAACTAACTGTGGAATAAAAATGACAAGTTGTGGTTTTATTGGTTATGCCAGCAGATGATTTGTTTGTTTCTGGGCATAGCCAGGCTAGCCCCTGTGTCCAGTGTTTGTGCTAAACTAAGCAAAACTGAGCAGGTTTAAGATGAAAATGTAACCATTAACTAAAAGTAATTGATCAATCATAAAAGCAAACAGCAAATGTATTAATAAATGATTACAATTGATAAATAATGTGCTATCTAAAAGTATGGCTAAAATTTTCTATCATAGGCTAATAGTATGGATAAACAGTTGAAACTGTTAGCTACAAATTGATTAACGGCTAAAACAGATAGCTAAAACTGTGGCTAATCTGTAAACTATCATCAGTAAAATAGCTAGCTAAAATTAAGAGTGTCAGAATTATTAGCTAAAAGTGTGGCTAACAGTTGACTTTGTTAGCTGTCAGCAGATTAGCAGATTAAAATGTTAGCTAAAAGTGGATAAACTGTTGTAATAGCTAGCTCAAGCTAACCAAATGGATATTGTTAGTTGAAATGTGAACAAACAGTTGACATTGTTAGCAAACAGATGAACTGGAAGATAAAAGAAATGGATATAGGTTAAACTGTATAGTTAGAGTGTTAAATAAGTATTAGTTAGCAAGTCAATTGATAGTTCTGACAAAAGCAAACCTAAACATTGACAGTTCAATTGGATGAATGTATATTTTAACAACAATCATTAAATTAGTTCCAAACAAGCTGTGAACAAGGTCAAATGAGTACATTTTAACATGAAAAATGTCCATCTGAAGGGCCTGTAGGGATACGTCACATAAATTAGTGTTTTAAGAGAAACTTTTTTAAATACAGAGTCACGATGATGTGAATCGTACTAAGCACTTTAAAGGTGTTTTGTTGTCCAGGCTGCATCTGTACAAGAGGTTTACTGTAGCTAAGTTGTTCTGACAACAGAGTATATAAGATATTTCGAGTGGCGTCAATGGCTGTCTCATTTATCAGAAATGTAATTGGATTATCTATGTCAGATTCAAGGCCTGTTGTTCGTGCATTACTGACATGGTTAGAGCTTTTAAATCAGTTCTATACTGTTTCATTTTTATGGAGAAAACTATGACATGTCTAAGCTATCATGCACTTATTGTATTTATTAAATTTCTTAACATTATATGTTATATACACCTATTAAATAACTATATATCATATATCTGGCATCAGCCCACCACTTTTAAAAAAATCTTTAAATACAAATGACTGATTGTCTCACTTTCTCAGGGATGAAACTGACAAATAACTCTTACAATCCTCCCAGGACTGTGCATTATTTCCAACTATTTAGACACACCTTGACCACCCACTCTTCCGTCCAAATCTGGCAAGCTCCAACCGTCCACTCCTCTTTTTTTGTATTTATCTGTTCTTTTTTTGTTGTTGCTTTAGCCTGGTATCTAAACACAAGTATCAGCTGGAGCATGAACAGCAAAGTCTGACATCAATTAATCCAAGGCCAGGTTTGTTTTAAACTTTAATGATAGTGTCTGTGGTGGATCCAACACCAACATTATAACATGCGTAGGTGGGATGAACTCCTCATCCAGCAGATGTTTCCATAGCTGAAGGGAGGATCCTAAATACACCACGCAGACAGCTCACCAAACCCTGAAATGTGATTAAATAATGCTGCACAATAAAAGCAGCCTGTTTTTTGTTTAGCTGGGCTCAATCTCTGCATCGCCAGCTCACTTGCCAGACTTTGGGCCCATTAGAAACCAGCCACATGTAGCAGCGTGGCTCTTTTCACTGAGCGTTGTGGGACCCACATGGAGAAGCATTTCTCAGCCAAGGCTTACACTCAAAGCATTCAGGAGCCCTGAAGAGAAAGGGGTTGCAGTCCCAGCAGGGATAACAAACGGGGAGCGGAGACGCTGAATGGAAAAGCTTCCATAAATACAGATCTCCAAGGGATAATCCTAGAGAGAGACAATCCTGAAATATGCCTTGATCACAGTGATCTGGTTAAGCAGATCTGTGGAGGTGTGAAGAGGAGGCTGAACATCCTGATGCAAAACACTGACAGCTGTAATGTTTTCAATCTAGAATAATGTGAATGGGAAATTTGCACCATTTAGCCTTAAAAGCTGATGAAAGATTGCATGACTTCGAAAAAAATCTGGAAAATGATCAATCTGTTTAGAGGTTTACAAGACATTTTGAAACACTATGAAAGAAATTTACTTGATAAATTCAAACTACAACCTGATAACTCTTCTAACAATTCACTTATTTACTTAGTTTTGTGCAAGTTCACACACATATTCATGACTTTGCAGTTAGCATAAATTAACCAATAAATGCAAAGAAGTCTTACCAGAGTTCCTGAGGAAAACGTTTGTCTGCTCAAGGACAAAGTGGTCAGCAGTCAGTGCAGGAGCAGGGATGTGGAACAAAGTGAAGACAGGGAGTTCGTCCGCCGCTCCGTGGAGGAACTGGTGCTCTGACACAAAGAACGTCGTCCTATAACCCGCTTTGCTCTCCCTCAAGATGTTCTTGGGAGTGAGACTGTAGCTCTTTTTGTGTCTCAACAAATTTGATAACCGAAAGGGAGTCCCGATGGGAGCCTTTCGTTTGAACCCTGACCCCACCCTTTCTTTCTCTAGAAAGAAGGCTCAGAGAGCCACTTGTGCGCTCCACAATAGCCTGAGTCAGAATACGCACCACATTTTAGCAGCGGGAAGAAGAATGGCATGCCTCAGTCGCAGTGAGTTGCTGGGTATGACTCCATGGAAACCAGGCCTAGTGGCGCATCGAGTGCCTTCAACATGAACTCCCACCCCCCCACTGATAGATAGAAGATGGACTGTGTTGTTAATTGAGAAGTTTATGACTAAAGTCTCAGAGATGATCCTTTGTGGATGGTCTGTTAGGTTCTAAAGTGGGCCCCAAGCCCCATAGGAGAGCAAGAAAAAAACAAGAGCAGGGAGGAGGGGAACGCTTGGAGGAAACAGAGGCCCTTGTTGCTCTCTTGCCTCCTGGGGGCATCTTGAATTGGAATGCCCAAAATAATCAGTCACATAGCCACCGGACAGATGTGGAGAGAAGACCCACTGACTGAGGAGGGATAATATTTCTTTCATACGCTGGAGTTCACAGCTGTGTGTCAGACACATTGGCCCTTTTTCTCCTCTGTATCATCGATATGCAAATGGTATTCTGTAGACTAGAATGAAGCCGCTCTCTGTTCAGGACCATGGAGAAGCTTTGACATCACTACCCCGTTAATATACTGCCAACTGCTAATTGGAGCGCCCCACACTTTTGTTTGGCTTCTCCACTGTCTGTTGTGAGTCTTGTAACCCTGCAGCAAAAACATTTCTTTGTGCAAGTGCTTGCTATCGTAAATATATCATTCTTCTCACTGCTGTGAGGGCTCAGTCAAACCAAAAAAAAGCTTCTGCAGCCACAGAAAGAGACGCTTTTATTATAAAGGATAGTCTGGCCATTTTATTTAGCTGCTGAATATGCAGAAAGTTGGCCTCAGACATGTAAACAAACCAGCGTGCACAAATGCAGATCTCCCCAGAATAAGATCACCAAGGCAGTAATAGCAAAATCACTGTTTTAGACGCCCAATTTATTTGTTTACTTTCAGTCAGATTTTTTGAAAAGCTGCAGGATTGTTCACAGTTTTCGCCTGAATATTTACTCTTTTGTGCAAAGGAAGTTTATTACATTTTTTCAGAGTAAGAGTAATAATACTTTGAGTAAACCAGGTTAAGTGTCCGTTTTCTTTTGACACTGTGAGAAGAAGCTCGAGATTGTAACCTTGTTATCACTTATATGTAGATTACTGATATAAAGATATTGTCACATCACTTGGGATGCTTATCCTGAACTAGCTAAGAATTCAAGCTACCTGCATCGTGATACGTCAAAATAATAATGCTCACTATGAATTTTAGATAACACAAACTAATATTGTGTAATTTCTTAGCTTAAAATGTGCGAAAATGCAGAAAACGATCCCCTTTGAGAAATTACACTATGAAATATTATAGAACTAGATTATTATTATAATGGGAAAGCAGGGTTTTCCTGCTGTGGCTGGTTAATTTGGAACTTATTTTGAACCATTTTGCATCCCCTTACAAGTAATAATTATTATCATTATGAATCAACCCGCTAACTACTTTCCCCAATAATTGACTGTTTGCTTTGTAAGCACTCTGAAAATGTGAAGAAATGTCATTGAGGTGGTATACATGATTATCAACACAGCTGCCAATTTGCAAATTGACTTAAGATAGATTACCTTACAGCAATTTAAAAAAAAAATAAAATAGAATTCTTGTGTGCAAAAATCTTAATTTTTAAAGAAACTAAAGTTATTAAATAACTAAAGTATAAAATACAATATTTCTCACTGACATGTGGTGGAGCAGAAGTAGAAAATGTCACAAAAAGAAAAGATTCAGGTGAATCAGAAGAAATCTGTGCTTAAGCTTGAGTAAATGTATTTATTTTCTTTCTCAGTAGTTTCAGTAGGAAAATGCTTTGACATTTTTATCTGATAAAAAAATAAAAATTTCAATAAATGTTTCATTGGACATTATCATTTTAATCACCAAAGTTTTATGGATTCTACGTTCACTTAAAGATACCTCATGTTTTTTTGTTTGTTTGCTTTTTTTTAAACTCTATTACCAGCATGGGGAAATGTTTTAATGTGTGGGCCCTTGATTTGTTTGTATAATATAAGAGCATGAGGGGCGACAAAGTTTGGTTTCAGGCTGTTCCCATTGCTGGTAGCACCCAAAGAAGCTTAGCAAAACCCTAACAAAGGCAGTGAAGAAGACAACCGACATGTAAATACTATAAGCTTCAAAAATTCTCTTTTCAATTAATTTATGGGCTAGGAAATTCTCTATTAAGCACTTTTATTAGACTTCAAGGATTTACACAATCTGTTTTCAAAGAAATCTCGAATGTAAACATACAAGAAAATTCCACAAGGCGTCTTTAATGTTTTTAAGTCAGACAGAATGATATGAAGTATTAATCTCAAAAGTAGGGACACATTTATGTCTCATGATCCACAAGTAAAATTTCAAGCATTTACAAATGCGCATGACAAATCAGTGAATAAATTATGTTGTTCACAAGTGATTTGTTTTTTATCCAACACTAAAATTGAATATGTATCCGAAAACAATACAGTTTGTGCATGTAAATGTCTGAAATTATTTGTGAAATTTTGTAGACTGAATGCAGATTAAATACCGTATGCTTAGGGAATTTGGGAAAATTTCCTAAATGTTTAATTATATGTAAATGCACTGAAAAGCCAGATGCCACACTGTTCTACCAGCACATAAATGCAACATACATTAATGGATCAGAGTAAATCAAACATAATGTAAAGCAACCAGCATAAGCACAGACAGTGTTTCAAGAACAAACGCTTTTAGATTAATGATCTCCAAATTAAATATAGAATACTAATTTGGGTTGTAGTTATTTAACACTGTTTTACATTGACTGAACTTAAGAGAGTTCTGATTCTGGATAGAAAAATGCATTTGTGAACATCATTTGTGGATCATTGAAGACACCAAAGAGACTAACCAAAGGTTAAGGGCTCAAGGAAATGTATAAATATACTTTTGGTTATTATGTAATTTGAATACATGCCAAAGGATTCTAGCTTTAAACAAAGCGTGAGGAATCTACAACCACTTATTCATGCAGTGAATCAAATATAGTTAACTGCTCTTTCAACAACAGAGAACTCTTCCTGCTCTGCCTCTTTGTGTGAACATTTTTATATCTTCACATTTCAAAGCGCTGGTTCCTGGTTTGCATGGCCCTCCTCTCTCTGCTGTACATGTTGACATAGGAGGTTATAAGATCGTCCATCTTGTAACCCTTTTAAAAGAAGACAGAGGTCAGGAAAAGGAAGTGGAAACAATACTCTTCAACCTAACAGAGAGTTCACTACTTTGCACATCTTACCAGTGAAGTTTCACACAGAAATTTGTTTCCTCTCACTAGGCTGCCAACAGTCATGTGAAAGTAGGTGCTTCCACTGCACCAGTTAGCGATGCGGTTGAATGGATGAGTTACTAAAATTTCCTTCAAACAAGAAAAAAAAAAGATGTTAATAGGGAGAAAAAATAGTAGGACAATTAATTTAGCATTAGTGGAAAAAAGCAGGCTCGCTTTTCTTTCACCTTGTTTTTGGGGTTGATGACTGTGACTCCTTGCTTGCTGATGGCTATTCGCACAATATCTGGCATACTTTGCTCTGATGTTTGCTGAGAAGAAAGTAAGTAAGGCAAATGAGGGAAGTGTATGCTTTTAGCTTGTGCACCAGCAGACTGAGAGAGCGCAACAGCATCAGATAACGCTGCCCACCCAACCAAACTGATCATAGATGGCAAGTTGCGGTGCATTCATGCAGCTCTTACCTTCACTTCAAAGAAAGCACAGCCGAACGTCAGCCAGCGACAAACCGCCTTCAGAAACGCCACCTTAGCTTCTTCAGAAGTCATACTAGCTTGTTTGTTGTAAGAGGCAGCGATGGTCTAAAATGAAAAATTGTATATACATATCAGGGTTTGATACGGCAGTCTTGTTTTGCAAAAAGTCTTTGCACCAGATTTAATGAGGTTAATGATTCTCTGACACCCCCACAGCCTTCAGGGTATATTCTCAGTGAACTGAGATATGGATCACAGGAAGCTTATAATGGCGATATTGTTCATATGGGGCCCCTCAAAGGACAAGTCTCGTGATAGTCAGTATTTTTCTCATCATGAAATAATTGAATAAAAAGTCTAAAGCTTAAAACATCTCGTTCCTTTATGCCATAGAGCTCTACTGTTGTCTATAAACATATCAGTGAGCAGCATCACTGCTGCGCTGAGTGATATCTTTATTACTATGAACTCACACATTGTCGTTTATTTTCAGCCAATGCCACGTAAACAACCCCGCAGCTACTCACGAGACTGATTATTGGCCTGGCTGATTACTGAAGCTGATACTCAGTATTTTCAGTACGGTTATTTTTTAAACTGATTTCTGATAAGATGAATTAATTCAATAATGCTCCTCTTTGACTTTGAGGCAGCTGCCTTCTCTGTCTGTGTTTATCACTCTCTGGTCTTGAGCAATGTCCCGCCCACAGCAAGGTCTGATTGGTCACACGTCAGGAGGAACAGCCTATCAACACTAAACGACAACACCAAAAGATACATTTTAAGTTATTTTTTAATTCTAAAACATAAATGAGGAAATTATTTTTTAGCAATTTTGACAAGGATTTTAATTTTCACTGCAAATGTATATTGCTTCTAAATATTTGTTATCAATCTCCTTGGTTACTACTTGCTATTGGTATTTGCCCCCAAAAAGCTCCCTTGTGCCCCATTTATTAATCAGTGCCCAAAAATAGTCTCCAACAAATGCACTGTTTCCTCAAAAAACAAGAGACTATAATAGTTTTTGTAAAGTATTTTGCATTTGGTAGAGCAGGTCAAGGCAGATTTATGGTGCCGCGTTGGTTTATTCTGTTTGTGACGCTCAGAATGAAGGATTATGGGAATTCAACCAACACAGTGTTATCCCTCAGTGGTGATGATATGCACCGACTACATGGTGACTGACTGACAGGTTAGCTTGAACGGAGTGTTTGCTTCGTGTCTGCTTTAGGGATGATTTTAGGATTTTACAGTTTGTTGTCAAGGTTTTTAGTTTGCAGCACCACCATACTTAGCAGAACTCTTGCATCTTTATACCCTGATCAGAGCAACAACTGGACCTTTCCATGTAGGAAATCCTCAGACTTCAGGAACCTCTGAGTTGCTGCTGAAGACAGACCTCTTTTTGTTGCTCTTTGATACAAGTAGAGCTTAACACCCTGACATCATCCCTTATTGTATTGTATCTTTAATTCTTATTATTTCCTACATCTTATTCAGATTTGTTTGTTCTTTATTATGTTTTATGCCCTGTTATTCTGGGCAACATTGTAGTTCAGCTCCATTTGTTTAAAATGTTCTTTAAAAACAAATGCACCTAAACTTTGTGTTTGCTGCTAAATAGCAAAGGCTAGCATGCTAACATTACCTTCCAAACAGCAGCATCTTAACATTGTGTGCTTTGTAAATGCTACCATGTCTCCCTACATCTCTCACTCGCATCTTAGCTCCTCACAGCGAGGATGTGAGAGAGAGATGAAAGGAAAAAGGAGCCAGAGCTGTCAAATGAGAAAGTCTTTGTTTTCATATTGAAGGTCTTAAGCAGCAGCAGTCACTTATGACCTGCTGCACAGCTGCATCACCTGTCAAATCAAACTAACACCAATAAAAGTGTGACATTTTAGGTCATGCCACATTATAGAAGACCTCCATGTTGGACACAGCTGTAATTCCTCGCTTTCAGCCCCTCCTGAAGACTTTTCTCTCTTTATCTCTTCTAGGTGCATTTAAACAAGTGGAAGATCCTCTATGATGACGGAGGGAAAACAGTTTCATTAAAGGAGAGAGGACACGAGGAAGCACAAGTTCAAATAATCTAAAGCGGCCCGTGTCATTGCATTAGACCGCACTTTGAGGGAAACGCAAATAGCAGCATTCTAAGTATAGTGTCACTGAGCCGTAACATTGCTGTGTAGACTTCTGATAAAGCTTAACGTCTTCAGAAAGTTGAAAGTAACAACAATACAGACTAACTCCATCCTTATCCTTTTTGCTCTCATACCTTCTTCCACTCGTTTTCAGACATGGCCTTCAGTAGGTCAACAGGCACCAGCTCCTTCAACATCTTGGGAATCATGACGAACTGGCTCTTGTCACTGCCGACCTTCACCCTGAAGAGGATAGCTGCGATGTTGATCAGGTCCTCTCTGGTGCAAACATGGTAGCCTCTCAGGTACTTAGGTAGCTCCTGGAAGACAGACAGGTATTACATGAAGGCTGTTATTTGTGGAATTCTCACCAGTTCTGTGCCTTCGTTTGACCTTTAAACAAATATTTTATTAAGTTATAGATAACTGTCTGTTTATAGATCTTAATTTCCCATTTCTTTTAACCTGTAGCAGTGATACTATCTCATTCATATGTGAAGCAGGGTTATGCTCATGGAAAATGCGATGTCATTCAAATGTACCTGAGGGAAATGGAACATAAGGTCAGCCACTGTGTCTCTGCCAGGGTTCACATTGAACCACAACTTCCTCATGAAGAACACAAGGTAGGATATGTTCACTGGCCCACCTGCAGAAAACACACACAGGAGAGGTTTTTACAGGTAAATTCAATTCAATTCAATTTTATTTGTATAGCGCAGTTTACAGCACATGTTATCACACAGCGCTTAACAAAGTAAGGTATAGACCGTACAAATTTAAACAGAGAAACCAACAATCCAAAGTTGCCTTTGGACTTCCTTTGAGCAAGCGGTTGGCAACGGCAAATAAGAAATAAAGTAAGGAAATATTGACAAACATCAAAAGTCCTGCTGTAACTGCAATCCTTTGATGCTTTATTACCATCTTTAATCCTCCTGGCTTTCTTGGACCAGTCTGTGATTTGTCTCAGACTGTCGAAGAAGTAGTCCGTGTCATTCAAACTGAGAACCTACAATTAATAAACACAATTACAGACTATGATTTCGTTTGTCAAAGAGGGTTGTTAATTTATGACAGGGCAAACATTGAAAAATAAGAAACAAAAATGTAAATATGATATTGAAGGTTACAAAATGCCAAATAACCGTGTCATGTGTTTTGACAAAAATGCTGAAGCCGTCTGCTGAAGCCAAGTGGAGCTTCTTGGAAATGTTCTGGATGAGATCCTTGATCTTGGTGCTGGTCGACACCTCAAATATCTGGAGGAGGATGAGAAGAATCACTGGTATTACTGGAATCTATTCATCTTCTAATCTGCCTCTGAACTGGGTTTTTACTCTGTAACGTTATAAATACAAGAATCTGTAGTCGCACCTCATCTGTGTCGTTGGGGAAGTGGATTTTGTGGAAGATCTGGGTGCTGTTCTGTTGGATGGCATCCACCTCCACCGCGTGAGGTGGGAACTTCCTGGGCTCCATCCTGCAGCAGAACAGCAAAAGCTTAGTCACATTCCTTTTCTTTTCTTTACATCTTGGCTCACTTAAATGGTTCAGTGTTTTTAGTACACACTTCTTAGATATTCGGCCTCTCCTTCTAACTGCTTTGCTGCATGGCGTCTCTAGTTCCTCTATACATACAGGGCACTGTAGCTTAGTTGGTTAAAGTCTAGTAAATAAGAGATCCTGGGTTCAAATCCCAGCAGTGCCTTTGGCTACTGATCAGAAGCTGCTATTGCTGCTGTAGTTGACTAAAGACCCCAATGTCCTAATAATATTCCTGATATGTGAAAATTGTATTTTGTTGTACTTTGTGCATTGACAAAATACAGGTAAAATGATGGAGAAAGCAAGTAACTACTCTGCACAAATAATCAGGTGGTCCTGGACACCTTGAAAACCAAACATAAGGTATAAAGTCATTCAGAGAATATACATCAGGCTCACCAGTCTGCATCTAGCTTGTGGTTACTCTGTTTAAAGCTGGTTACTATATTTACAGCACTAAACTGGCAGCATTTACTAGAGATCAATGGCCTGTACTACGAAGCAGGATCAATATATATAGGATATGGTTTTTCATTATTTAGCTTCAAAAGCAGCACAAACAACGAACTAACTTGTTAAGTCCATCCAGGGTTTCTGAATCTAGCTATGAGTGTGTTCACATAAAATTTGGTACCCTAGGACCAGTCACAAGCATGGACAGGTCTAGACCTGCATATTTCTTACAGGAGCAAAGTATAAACCTAAACCATCCATCCATCCATCCATCCATCCATCCATTTATCCATTCATCCATCATCTATACACCGCTTAATTCTCACTAGGGTCGTGGGGGGCTGGAGCCTATCCCAGCTGACTCAGGGTGAAGGCAGGGGACACCCTGGACAGGTCATCAGTCTATCACAGGGCTACACTTAGAGACAGACAACCAAGCACACTCACATTCACACCTACGGACAATTTAGAATCACCAATTAACCTCAACATGTTTTTGGACTGTGGGAGGAAGCCAGAGAACCTGGAGAGAACCCACGCTGCATGAGGAGAACATGCAAACTCCATGCAGAAAGATCCCAGGTGTCCTCACCAAGATGTGAACCGGCGACCTTCTTGCTCTGAGGCAACGATGCTAACCACCAAGACACCATGCAGCCCCAAACCTAAACCAATATGAGCATTTAAATACAACACAGGCTAAAAGCAATGGAGTCAGAAAGGGAAGGTGACAAAAAATTGCAGACTGTCTGAATGCTGCAGCCCTGTCTAAGTGTTCTTGGGAGCAACTAAAGAACAAAAAAAACATGATTTAAATTATTCACAAGCTTACTGCAAATCCAATAAGGTCAACAAGTAAAGCTACAGTGCTTTATCATATTTCTGGTTTAGGACTGTATCACTAAACAAAAGCCCACAGAAAAATCAATGTTCTAGATTTGAGTTGCTTGTAGTCAATGATAAAAAACATGAAGTAAGGAAGAATAGAGCTCCCTCCACAAACAATCAATATCTTTTACATCTATGATTGTCAGGGAAAGAAAAGGGTTTAGATGGACTCTAAAGATTCTTGTTTTCCTAAGATAGTACGAGCTCCACAGGAAGAGAGTACATATATATCCGTGTTCTCTTCTCTCAGATCATCCAGAGCAGGACAGGTGTGTAGCACAGGTTACCATTGTATGTACCTCAGTAGGAAGTGAACCTCCATCAAAGGTAAACCTGAAGTTACCTAGCACAATTTAAGAGATGTGAGTGCATCTGAGGCAGGCAATGCAAACGATTTTGCCCCATGAACTGTACTGTGACACTCAAAATGTCCAAGACATTAATTATGCAAAACTTAAAGCTTTAGTACAATTTAAATGGTTAATTATAAAAATCAGATATAGAGACCAAAACTGTTTTTTGTCCCAGCCTATAAACATGTGTATTTCTGCTGTAAATTTGGACAATTTAACTTAGGTGTCCATGGAAATTGACCCACTTTTGGAGCCAGCTTCTAGTGGCCATTGGAGGAACTGCAGGTTTTGACACTTGTGTTTCATTTTTCAGACCAGGAGGTTGCTGCTTGTTGCATTGTGCAACATTTGGAGTTGTCCCTCAAAAGTAAATCTTTTAATTTTCTGTTTTTTTTTTCTTTCTTTTTTTTTTCTTTTTTATGAATGTGCTATTTTTTTGAGGGGTTGAGGAAGCTTCGTCTTATAGTTTTAAAGTGGTATATTACATTAATTGTTTAATGTCAAAATCTTGGATTAAAAATGTTTCTTGACACTGCTGTCATTTTAAAAACAACACTGAATGTAAAGGACATGGACTCAGAGAGGTGACCCTGCCAAAGCTGAGTACTGTGAGCTTACTGAAAAGCTGATGCAACACTTCTGTATGAAGAGCTAATTACTACAAGCCAGTTCTGCCTCACACCACACAACTTGCTCTAAAAGCATGAGAAGCTTTACCTCAGTTTAGCTTTCAGTGGATGATTATCTGAGAGATTTAGAAGTCAAGACATTACAGCTTGACATTTCCTTTTCTCACCACACCAGTCGTGGTGTCATGATGTGTCAATGTTGGCCACTAGCCCAAGGAGGAGTGATGCAACTGCCTTTTGCTTTTCGACTGCACACACTTGTCCGTGTCATACACCCTTCTTCTTCTTCTTCTTCTTTTTCTTCTTCTTCTATGTATCGGTGAAGCATAGTGCAGCACAGCATGTCAGACTAACCTCAGAGAGCTCTGCAGTCGCTGCAGACAGTCAGAGGCGATGGGTGCTCTGCGCCGCGATTCCAGAAATCGCTGAGTGTGTTTCACAAGAGGCTGACTGGGAGGAAACAGGCCACAGCAGAGCCACAGCAGCTGCCAGCCCTGATCCATGCTGAACCTGGACAAGGCAATAGGAGAAAAAAAAACATATTTAAGACTTTATATGTTGAATCTAGAATCGTCATTTGTACCAATTCAATTGCAAACTAAAACATAAAAGGGTTATATTCTCCTTTTTGGTTCCTTTTTAAGGAAAGAAATCGAAACATTATCTCATTGGGGACGTCTGGACTTCTATCTTTGTAATCATTAATTAAAAATCGTTCATACAGATTCTTAGATAGCATGCACAAAAATAAATCTGAGAATCTAAGGCAGTGACAGGAAGAAATAACACATATGTACCGGTTGTTATTGTTGGTCATCTGCTTCATGATCTGGCAATAGATCTCATCTTGGAGCGCCTCGTGTTGAGTGGCAGAGCCAAAGATCTGGTCGGTGAGCTCGAGATGACTCTGCATCTGCTTGGTGGGGTAATCTCCCATATACTTGAGGATGGGTGCGCACAGTCAAGGAGGAATAATAGGAATAGATATCCTGGTTTGTTGTTAGATGGTGATAATACCACAGAACTGTTGTTGCTCACTAGGGTGAAGTCAGCCGAGGATGTTTGCTTGCTTTATTTGATGGTTTGATGACAACACACTTAACTTGTCTTAATTAATTATTGAGTCAAAGCTATATCACAAGCACAGATGAGCTTTCTCTGTGTTGTGGGCTGTTTATTGACCCTACAGACATGTTTGCACTTTCACACTTCGCAGGGCTGCAAAATTTCAACTGTGTGAGAAGAGTGAGAAGTCACATCTAGAAGACTTCATGAGAACGTACTCATGCACACAATGTCAATTCTACTAAGTTTTAAATTAAAATAGCAAAACAGAAAAATACCTGTAATGATACATCAGAGTTTTACTCACAGTAAAGGGTGAAATTTGCCTTTAGATGCTGATGCTTGTTACCATGTTGGGTATATTTATTAATTATAAATAACTGATGGAGCTGCAGCTGCTGTGCCACATTCAGAAATGTGCAGAGCCTTCTCCCCTTGAAGATGTATAGATGGATCTGGATGGTGTCTGACAGCTTGACGTGAACTCAAGAATTGCAAATCCAAATAAGGCTTTGGCAAAACCTGGATTACAACCTCTGTGTCCTGCCACTACCCTGTCAATTGAAAGTTGCACAGCATAAGAAATTATACTTGTAGCGTGAGAGTGTGTGACAGGTGTCATTTGTGTGAGAGTTGGCTGCCTTCTCTCTGCACTGAAATACTTAATTTGTAAGACAGGTCAAGCTAACTTATTTAAACTTTTCTGGACGTTTACTCAGAGCCCGCTCCAAATTAACTGACACCATGTTAAAGAAATGTTTGTTCAAACAAAGGGCCAGAAAGTCAAACAGCAGCTTACATATCACAGCTCAACAACCAACATGACAGATCATCCAAAAACAGCAGCTCTTTTTCTTGTTGTGACTAATTAACTGGTTGAAGAGTAAGTACCATTTCAGTTGACCATCATTTTCTTTGGCTGACTACAGTCCACAGCATTCACACAGGTAAGTGAAATTAGCCCCTCAAGTTTAGGTTAAGCAGATACAACATAGATAATTTGTAGGCAGCACAATATCTGTTCTTTGCTTCAGCAAAATAAGGACTAAATGACAGCTTAAAGTTGCATCGTCTGCTAAATGGTTCAGAAAATCAGTGTTGACACAGCCTAGTCCGCACTACAGAGCCTAATGATCAGTAGAAAAAGTGTTTAAGAATGTTACGAGGCTTCAACACCACCTCTGGCACATTTTTTCATGTGTATAAATGAATATTTGTTTCAGCCAGTAGAAACCCACAAGTGCCCTGTCTAAAAACACAGTAACAAGTGTTTATGTTCTGGTGTGTAGAGGATATCAGTGAAGGCCTGACAGGCTTTGGGGCTGAGCTCTGAGTTGCCCACCAGCTTCTTGTGGAGTGGCTGTCTGATTGGCTCTCTGGAGCTCATCCACAGCCTCTCTGGAGCAGCGTTCCTAGAAATCACCTGACGGTTCACATCCTTAGTGGGCTGCCTGTAGGATCGAGGAATCAAGATCAGTACTGTTCCGCTGACCAGTTGGTATGAAAATAACATGTAGGTTGCAGTAAAATGGAGGACATTTCCAGGTACCTGAAATACTGGAGAGAGTATTCTTTGAGCGTGACTGGGGCCATTCTCTCCATTGTGCCTGTTTCTTTCTGGGTTGCCTGCAGGATTGTCTTCCTCTGGTTTGGAGACAGGTTGAGGAGGCTCTGAAATAAAGAAAACAATCACAACATGTAATTCTTTGCAGAACCTGGGCTCAATAACTCATCTGATTAAGGTATGTAATGGAAACTCCATACCATGACCTCATTGGAGGGTTTGTTGAGCGTTGGCAGGATTACGATGGCCTCAACGGGGACGGCTCCTGTGTGTTTAAAGTTCTCCTTTCGGCCCTTTACCCAGCCTCTCTGCTCAGCGAACTCATCGTCTTTGATAAGTATAATGAGCTCTCCTTTCTTGAAGCTGAGGAACATGGGGTCATCTGGAGAGGAGTAGAAGACGAATTAGAAATCAGCTAATTACAAATCTGCACAAGTGACTGTAACTTGGAGTATTCAGCTGTGACGATGTGAGAAAGAGAATTCGGGGCCCTTACCTTGCCTGTCGACGTCCTTCACAGCCACAGCATACTGGGAACGCTCCCTCAGCCCACTGAGGAACATGGTAATCAGCTCAGCCATGTCCCCAACTGTGGGTCCGGTCAGAGTGAAGTCTCCTTTCAGTGTCAGCAGACTCACAGTCAAGTCCGATGATTTACCCTCCCTGAGTTACAGAACAGAGTCAAAAACACATGAATAAAGCTCTTCACGCTAATAAACCTCTCTCTGGACCAATAAGAAGCATCTCTACCTTACGGTGTTGACTGCAGTGACTTCTGGGAAGGAGAGTTCCAGTAGCCTCTTCTCTTTCTCATCCAGGAATGTGATGCCAGTCCAGTTTATGGCCACAATGAATTTACTCTTTTGCACTGGACCTAGAACATCCATGGAGGAAACAAGCATAACAAATCATGACAGACTGAATGATGGGATATGTTCCTGTTCAGCTGAAAAGGGTTACTTGCACTTCTTGTGTGTATCCTTTTCAGGGAGTTAAAGACCTTTTAGGACTACAGAGAACAGAATTTAACACCTGTTATATAATGGACAAAGGTATAAGAGATAGCAATGAAAACCAGTGGAGGATAAGGCCTGGCATTGTAACCCAACTGCATGAATTTATTGTGATTTATTGTCATCACTTCGAAGCAGTATACAACACTTTATCTTTAAAGATTGGGTGGCTCTGTGTTGTCAAATATGAGAATCTGCAGCATTTTCATGTCTTCACTGATTAGAATTTTATTATTTTGGGGGTTTGGGACTGTTTGTTAGGCAAAACAAGACAATAGTTGGCAAAAAAAAATAAAAATCAGTAATCAAAATTGCAAGCTGCAGCCCCAAACATTTAAATTCTACACCACCGAGTTTTAAATGGAAAGATTACACCTTCTGTTCCATTTTTAATAACCACAAATTAGTGATTGTGCATAAGTATCAGCAGAATTTTGTGTTTCTGACTTTTACTTGTACAGGTGTTTTTTGCACTGTAGTATTTCTACTTTTACTTAAGGATGAGGATACTTCTTCCACCACTGGCTGGCTCTAAATCCTTCTGTCTCAAATCACACACTGTATACATTTAGTTCTGGTCAAATAAGAAGCCACGGCAGAGCCGTGTTGCAGGAAGGTATACAACAGCACAGGATACTTCTCACAACATGTCATGAATAAAGGTTACACACTGTGTGTTTAGGTTGAAATAAAGCTTAAACGCCTCTAAGTTGCTCAGTGTGGAAGTCAATTAGACATATTATATTGTGAAACCTTGTTAGCAAGCAGTAAATGCTGAACCCTCCCAGCATGTTGTCGATTACATTCAGGCACTAAAGAAATTTACTACAGGTTTGATCTGTTTAGAAAAAAGACCATCTGTGTGATTAAAGTCAGAGCTCCTTCTGATTAGACAGCTCAGAGTCATTTTGCAAACTGATAGTTCACAAACACAGAAGGAGGAAATGGTGTTCCCAGCCCACTTTTTCCCCACCTAATCCACAACTTGGCTGTTGTCTGAGCCCCAGCGGTGCAGTGTGTCTACAAATATCCTCAATTGCTCTAAAGGGCTCTGGTCTGTTTCTAGATTCCTGAGGAAGAAGTACAAACACAAGTGGTATACATGTTCCATGGTCTGCTAGTCCTGACATACATCCTGCTGTTACTGTTATCAATCTCTTGCTGGGATTCGTCAGCAATTAGGACTTTTTCCATCATCCACTGTGAAATGCTGCTCTGTCTTAGCCCACAGCAGCACTTGTCCTCGTTTTCTCTCCTGTGGTTTAGAGACTCTCCTCGTCCTCTGAGACACGAGACAGTCTTCGTTTGACAGATTCTTATGTTTTTTATTTAGTATATAGCTCTGGGGCTGCAGGTGATGGTTAGCAGTGATGCCTCGCAGCAAGAAGGTTGCCGGTTCACGTCCCGGTGGGGGCACCGGAATCTTTCTGTGTGAAGTTTGCATGTTCTCCCCGTGCAGCGTGGGTTCTCTCTGGGTTCTCTGGCTTCCTCCCACACAGTCCAGAAACATGTTGAGGTCAATTGGTGATTCTAAATTGTCCGTAGGTGTGAATGTGAGTGTGCTTGGTTGTCTGTCTCTAAGTGTAACCCTGTGATAGACTGGTGACCTGTCCAGGGTGTCCCCTGCCTTCACCCTGAGTCAGCTGNGCTGGGATAGACTCCAGCCCCCCACGACCCGAGTGAGGATTAAGCGATGTATAGATAATGGATGGATATAGCTCTGTGCACTGCCTCCTTAAAAAGCCTCGAGTCCAGTCATGATTTGACCTTGAGAAAGCCCCTCTTTTCTCAGAATAACAATCTTACATCTCACAATTTCATTTTATTCTTTATGCCACGTTTCTCACTACCACAATGCTTCTTAATGAGCAATGTTCTGCTGGAAACTTAGGGAACAGCCACATTTCTAACATGTGAACACCAACTGCAGGTTGGTTTAGTTGAACAAGCTTTTGATGAGAACAAAAGTCAAGAAATCTGACCTCTGTACAGAGCAATTAACTTGGTTGATGCCTCTAAATTCTAAAATTGTGAATATTTCCAGCTTTGCATGAAAAGATGACGTACGTTTGTTTTTTGTATTTGGTTTTAGACATTTGGCTGATATTATAGATCTGAATCTGTTCATGCTTCTGACTGCCCCTTACAAGGTTTGATAATGTTACAGTTCAGTATGGAAAACCCATTTTCTAAGTAATTGTAATTATTGTTTGTGTACAACATGATGGGTGTCAGTGACCAGATGCCTACCTGACAGTTTGGTGACCTCGAAGAACCTGGAGAAGAATATGGGCCACTTCTCTCGAGCGTAGTCGACCATCTGCGCCTTCACGGAATCTGCCTTTTCTCTTGAACTCAGAAATAGACCCTTGAGTGGTTTATCAAAAGAGACCCATTGATTAAATCTCCTGAAGACCCCGTCAAAGCTCCTTTTTATCATGTCAATGCAGCACCATCTGACGCAGGACTGACCTCAGAGTGAGCTGTGCTGATCATTTGTATCCACTTCTCCTCTGACTTGGCCTCCAGCAGAGAGTTATTGATGCAATCCTGCACAGCCTCTCTCACTTTCTCTGGACGGCTGTCTGAGCCGTGCTGAATGTACAGATGTTGTGCAGCGAGTTGAACCAGATCATCCTCCTGTCAAAGGAGAAATGTGGTAAAAACAATTAACAGCATTTCTTTTTTTTTTATTTTCCAAAGTTATTTTTTGGCCTTTTTCCCTTTATTAGATAGGACAGTCGAAATAGAGGGACAGGAAAGTGGGAGAGAAGGACTTGCAGGAAAGGGCCATGAGCAGGACTCAAACCCATGGCTGCTGCATTGGGGACTATAGCCCCAGTGCATAGGTCGCCAGCTCAACCAGTTGAGCTATCGCGGCGCCAGAACTATCAGTACTTCTAAATGTATAGCAGGAACTTTTTGGGACCAACATGAACCCACCTTTTGAGTCTGGTACTCTCCAAACTTCAGGCCGTGGATGATCTGCCTGTAGATGAGGTCAGTGCTGGTCTTGTCTTCCATGCAGTTGTGCCAGGGTGTGAAGACCTCCTTACGGAGGAGGAGGCGCCAGGGAGCATGCTGCTCCTGGCCGCCTCTCCTCTTCACTTCCTGCTCACACTGGGAGATGGCGTCCATCACGTGCTCCCGACCGCTGCCCAGAGCCCAAACCTTCAGGACAGACCCACAGCTGAACCAATTAGTTTATGTTATTTAGTGCAGACTTACTCATTTACAGTTCAGTACTGGGTAAGTGCTGCCCCTATAAATTTGTGCAAAGTCGATGTATAAATCACTGAACACATTTCAGTTCTGTTGCACGGTTTCTCTGCTATATAATCAAAAAGCCTAATTTAAAAGAGAAGAATCTGATTGAAAGCCACTGCCTATTGTGCTCTTGCAGTCTGTGAACTCCAACTCTGCCAGCTGCAGAAATCAGATTCACTAAATCACAGTTTTTAAATCTCTTCTTAAAACACTCTTTTTCAGAAAAGGCTTCACATCTGACAAAACTTCAATTTTTTAAAATTTCTAATTCATTGTTGCTTTAATCATGTTTAACAGATGCTTTATTCTTGTCATTTTTAATCATTTTATGAAGCACTTTGCAATAGTGTTTAGAAAAGGGAGGGTGGCCAGCTTAAAAATAATGTAGAGAAAGTGATACAACATATTTCTGTATTGATATTAAGATTTTTTCCCACCACTACTTGCAATGTGAGATTCTGGATGCCCTGTTTGCCCAAAAATAAATGTTCCCATCGAGTTTTCCTCTTTCAGAAGAAATTAATTTGGGTCTAACTGTTCTAAAAAGCAAAGAATAGAATCAATGTGAATACTCATCATTTAGTTTAGGGGGGAAAAAAACAAAAATGCAGACGTACCTTTTCATACAAGGCGACATAGAGCGAGAAGCCAAAGGTGTCTGTGAGTTTGACCTTGTTGGCGAGCTGCTGGCAGATCTCTTTGGATGTAGTCGCTGAGTCAACAGGAATATTAATGGAGCGGCGATCCAATAGCGTCACAGTCACAATCATGGGCTTTAGTGTCTTGGTTGCCTGTCAGAGTACAGACAAATAACCATGATTACATAAGCGTGTTCCTTATCACTAAATCACTAAAACACTTCCCACCCCAAAACCCAACTGGATAAGCATATGGTTTAGGTTCATATTTTGAGAGGCGCATCTGTCAGAAACCAGCTGGCAGAGTGATTCTGTTTGTGGTGCTTACAGTGTAGAAAAATTGAATTATAAAAAACTGTAGCTATCCTTTCTTCTATCAACAGTGCTCTGAATAATCCACAACCTTTAAGAAAGAAATAGTTCTGAAATCTGATGACTGTGAGGTTAGTGGATTGTTTCTCTAAACCCTAAAAAGTTTCTCTCTCTCTGTGTGTGTGTGTGTGTGTGTGTGTGTGTGTGTGTTTTTTTTCTCTCATTACCTTTTTACTCACTACAGACACATTGTTTCACAGCAATATAAAATCCTGCTCTTCCATGGTAACATTACAACCATGGCAAGAAGTACAGAATGCAAAAATGTGTTCTGTCCAGTATGACACCATTACATTGCCATTAATCACAAAAATAGAAGAAGAAAAAAACTTGAATTATTGATTATTTATTTTATATAAAATATAAAAACTTGAAATGAACATGCACAACATATGTCCAACTTTTGTACATGTTAGATTTCAGTTTTTAATTTTAAATAAATTAGCCAAAATTCTTTGTACTTTAACATTACAGGATGTTGAGTGTAGACTAATATATTTTGAATGTGGTGCAGTTGTAGGAGTGTCTCAGTGTCAGTCTCAGTACCTGCAGCTCCAGCCAGGCTGGAGGTTCCCCTCGCATCCCGTTCAACATGGTGCGCCGTAGCCTGTTAGCACAGTAGGAAGAATAGCCGCCTGGAGCAGAGCGGATGAAACTTTGGAGGTACTGCCAAGACCAGAGACAAAAAGAGATGAGTGGAACCCGGCAACATGTGGTACGATGTTTATGAGACAGAAACAGACAGTTGATGTGTACCTTTTGAAAGCGCTCACTTGGAGGAAAAACACCCAAACAGAGTGACAGCAAGATCCAACCACGGAAGTAGCTGTTGCGATATTTATTATCCTGAAGCTGCTTACAGATTTGACAGTAAATCTCATCCCTGCATAGACAACACTGTATTAGCAAAGGCTCAGAAAGAGATATCTATATCAGAGCTACGTGATTAGAAAACCAAGCTTCATTAACCTGAGGTCACGTCTGACAATGGCATATCCCACAATGATGTGGAGTTTTTCAAGAGATGTCAGGGGCCTGTCCAGGGTGGGTCCCTCTCCAACCATAACATCAGCATTTTCCTGCACAGTCTGCAGGGTGGGAGGCTTGGAAACTTCAGACAGATCATCAGACTGTAAGGAAAAACAACACAATTTTCCCATCAGTGTGTTATAAAGGAAACAGCAACACAAGACTGACGTGTTGTTTAGGATTCAACCTCACCTCCTCCATGATGATCGAGGGCTTCCTCTGGTTTGAAATGGATCTTGGAATTCCATTTTCTGGAACAGAGGATGTTTTTCTATTTCTGGTCAGAAGGTCGGTGAATGTGGATCCCTTCCTTGCTCGAGGGTTATCTTCTGGCACAGTGTATGCTTTAGGGTTTTGAACTGTCTCACTGGGCATGACAGAAGTTTTCCTGTTTCTTGCCAGAATGTCTGTGAAAATGGAGGTCTTTCGGCCTTGTGCTGGCTCCTCAGGTACGATAGAAGGCGCCCTGTCTTTTTTACTCCTGAGCATCCTCTAAAACAATCAACAGGACATTTGAGGATATATGATGAGTTCATGTCAATCTGCAAAAGGAGAAAATATTCCAAACCTTCCTCCTGTGGGGATATTTACCTGATCCAGGCCCACCATGTTGCTGAAACGCCTGTCCTTTCTGGAGATCAGTTCCTGCGGCATAAATCGTTCCTGTCTGGAAGGTGCCTGAACATTGACGTGTCTCTTTGGCTCAGGGAGGTCTCCCATGAACCTCAGAATGATCCACCACACTGTCAATGACGCCTGGTGAAAACACAACAGAGTTGAATTGTAATTGAATTTAATAAACAGGACTAAAACAACTCACGTTAAGAAGTGAGGTGGTCTAAAAGAAGCACCAGAACATCTCCTTCATCCTCGTGGTAGAGCAGGGGCGATAGAAGCCTCTGACGGATATAGGTGGAGCTGGCTGCACCCTGGAAGTACATGGAGGCAAACTTGGAGAAGGAGTACTCATCCAGGTCATCGTAGTCTTCGTCGGGAAGATCTTCCTCCATGGGCAGATCATCGATGTCTATCTCCTCAAAAATTCTCTTTTTCCCCTCAAGATTCTAAAAACATATGCAGACATGTGATTTATCTAGTCTACTGATATCTGTTAAACCTGCAACATGTGCAAAATGTTTGGTTGCTGAACCTCAAATCCCACAGGTGCTTGCCCCTCCTGCCCTCCAACAATTTGGGGCAGGAAGCCAAACATATCGTCGACCATCTCCTCGGCTGTGATGGACTCAGACTGTGCTTGGGCTTCCTGTTCTCTCTTCTGCCTCAACACTTCCTCCAAGTGTTTCTGTCTCTGTAAAAGGAGCCGCTGTTCTTCTTCCTTCTCTTTAGCAGAGAGGTACATCTGCAAGAACACAGCACAAAGGAAGATCAATAATCAGAGAAAAAAAAAAACTTGTCCTGAAACCATTTTTAATATTTTATCACCACACAACCCAAAAATAACAAATGCGTGGGGCAATGACAGGTAAAATATGAAGTTCATTATGTCTTCTCCTGCTGAATCCAGATTGTTCTTGGAGGTCTTGCTCACAGACGCTACGGCAGCGGTTACATACTGTCCTCTACCACAGCAATAACCAATCAGTGGTAGGTTCTTAGATTTAACTTCAAAAATATATGTATTATTTCATTTTAAGTATAGATTGATATAGATAGATATAGATATAGACATATAAAATAGTATTCTAAAATATAAAATATCCATCTTTAATGTTAAAAATTAGTGTGGCACTTATTCTTTAGTGAATTTACTGTTGGGCAACTGTTAGGCAGACCACACTGTACAGTACACATCTTCTGATAGTTAGCTAAGAGAGATGGGTAAACAGTTAAAATAATGAGCTGAAATGAAGGGATAAACACATCAAACAGCTAACAAAATGTAATAAACAACTGACTGAAACAGCTGACTCAATGTTGCTGATAAACAATAGATATAAAAACAATAATTAAATTAGTTAGCTTAAAGTTATGGATTTAAAAAAATAATGTCTGTACAGTCAGAAAAGCTAGCTAAAAGCTAAAAGTAATTGATAAATACCAACTATTTTATGTATCATATAAAATATAATAATATATAATTATAATATAATAATCAAAAAGCTAAAAGTTAGCAATAACAGATGAAATATTTATTGGACAAATATATCAATAGTCATGGATAAAGAGTTCATATATCTACAGGAACCTTACTGGGAGCCACATTTAAAAGACTTTAACTTCCCCTTACAACTTGTCAATCTTCAAGCTGAACTTACATCTCTTTTCATCTTTTTGAGAGCCTTCCTTGCCAACACCCCCCTGGTTTGGGCCTGCAGCAGGATCACGGCGTCTCTCTTGCGCTTCCAGTCCTTCCTGGCCAGGTATCCTCTGACTTGGGTCTGCAGCACGAGAGCTGCCTCCCTCTTCTTTTTGTACTGGAAGTGGAGCTGACGAGAGCGAACTTGTGCCTGCAGCCTTGCAAAGCCCAGCTGGACCTACAATTACAACATGACTGAAGGTTTAATGCTGGTCAGGCCTGTGTTCTCACTTGAGTAAATACGGATTTATGAAAAAGCAACCCACCACTTTGTACAACTTCCTGCCTTTGTGCCCTCTCCAGCATTTCTGAATCATGAGCGCGGCGGCCTTTTTCCTCAGGAATTCTCTCCTTTAGAGATCATGAATCATAATGACATTAAGAAGACATTCACATGAAGGAATAGAGGTTGCTTTTGGAGAAGTGTGCAGGATCATACCTGTATTTGTAGCCTCTCATGACTTTCTGGATCATGAGTGCCTTCTGGTTTAGTTCTTTTATTCGCTCCAGCTCAAGCATCGTGTCGTGGAAGTCCTGATTGAAAACAGTAGCAAATAGAATTTTATTATTTTGGCCGACAAAAACAATCCAAGCTTTTACAGTGTGTTCAGCATATTAACCAGCATTTAAAATCACACACATTCAGACACGTGTGTTTATTGTCATTAATAGCATCTTTCACATATATCTATCAAAAACAACAGACTGTGCACACAAATGTGATGCAGCACCTTGAGGAATATCTTTGTCTTGCCAGTCTTCCAGTCGTCTTCTTTTCCAGAAAGCACTCTTTCACAAATGCTTTCACAGCATTTCTCTTTGCTTTCCTGTTGAGATAAAACAGTCACCATAAAAGCAAGGCAAGACATGTTGAGAAATGGTGAAAATTGTCTTTTTTTTTTATCACTCACAATGCTGGGATCACAAACGGAACTCTTCAGGAGGGCTCGGTAGCGACTTAGAAACTCATCAAAAGTGTAGCGAACAGGATATCCGGCTTTCCTGATACGGATGGTCTCCATCATACCGGAGTAGCGGAGCTGGCGCAAGCAAAGCTCCCTGTCAAACAGCTGAGAGAAAGCGGCATCCGTTATGATTTACTCACAGCAGATAGTTTTGATACAGAATCAGTTTTTTCTAGTCGAGTGAATGTGCTCACCATGGGCTTCTTGAAGTCGTTGGGTTTAATGCAGCGTATGAAATAAGGCTGGCACGCAGTCAGTGTTTTCATCAGGGAATCCAGAGACTGACGGAACTGGCCGACCAGAGTTGGTGAATGCTTTTTAGTGTCGGACGCTTGCTGTCAGATACAAACAAAGGTCACACGGTGTAAGTGAGTACATGCAATAATGGTGTTTACATTCAACTGACAGTGTGCGAACTACACCATCACTTTTAGGGGACCTCACTTCTTTCCTTTTGTTGTGAGTAGAAATGAAAGTTACAATCTTACATACGCACCTGATTTAGCTTGTACTTATCGTTTTTAATATTACTAAGAACATGAATAAAACAAAGAAAAAATACATGAAATGTTGCCACTGCTGCCTACTTTCAGCACCAGAGAGGGTTTTCTCTTTCGTTTTGGCATAAAGAAAGCTTTTTTTTCTTTTAATGTTTGAATGCAAGGAAGTGAAGCTTATGATATTATGCTGCTACTCTTCAACGGTGATGGCAAGAACAGCATGCACATCTGCATTTTTATTAAAATGAATAGGCAGCATCCCACTCCAGAAAGTTGGAGCGGGCATAAGGTGATGCAAATGTGATGCGACCATTTTAGCATTTATGTTTTAATAGCAGTTTTGACCACAACATTAAGTTATCATGTTTTCAGGGTAGCTCATGTCTTTTTGAGAGGGGCTGAGGAGGCTCTGGCTCCCCTGCAGCCTGTTGAAGCTGCAGGTCTTGAGAAGCTGCACTGACCCGGAGGCTGTTCTTGGGCGTGGTGGTAATGATCATCTTGGGGTTGACAGTGCTCTTGATCGTATTAGAGCTGGTGGACAGCTCATTTTGAAACGCCTGCTTGAGGAGTTTGTTGGTGGAGGTCTCCACCAGCTGGATCAGGTCCAAGCTGAGGGTGTCGCGGTTTTTCTCAAGGAAACCTAAAACAAAAATAAAAGCAATGATAACATGACATATAAATCAGAAGAGTGATGTGGTGTTTTTAAAAGATTTAAAGCTCCAGTCAGTAATTAAACCTCTAAAAACTAACCTCTGCGGATTAAAGATTTTAGATTTTGAAGTTTTTTTTACATTAATTCTTAGGCATCAAATTAAAAAAGTTGCACAGAGGTCCTTAAAGTCAGAAATGTCCTCGTGGACATATGAGAATTCAAATATGAAATTCCAGCCTACTCTCCAGCCATGCTCTCTAGCACACCAGTTCATCTTTGACTCTGCTCAAACTCTGTAAAAAATACGCTACACAAAGTTCTGTTATTGGATTACTTTAACCACACGTTTGAACTGGAAGCAGATTCTGAAGAGGAATGATAGAGAAAGCCCCACCCTGCCAGCTGACAGGTTTGGTTCTTTAGGTTCGTTATGTTTGAAACTCAAGAAGTTTCAAGGTGGGAATACTCAGCTGTTGTGTCAGCCCATTTCATTCATTATGTGTCTTCTAGCATATAAAACACAATATGAACGAGCTAATGAGGTAAAAAAATGTGATTTTCACTGGAGGGCGTCTTTAACGGTACCTTGCGAGTCATAGTAGACCACACCAGCAAAATGCTGGATTCCAAATTGTGTCTCATAGTTGTTCTTCGGGGGAATGTAGATGTCTCCTTTCCCATGAAGCTGATTCATCTTTTGGAGCATGGTGGTATCTGTGCCCTTAAAATGAGTCATATACCACAATTACAACCTGCCTTGTTTTGTTACAACTGAAAATTACGAGGTACTAGGAGGACGGACACCTTGGGGAAGTTGCTCTCCTCATCAATGAGTGACAGCATGTTCAGAGGTTTGATGGCCAACACATCCAGGGTGCGCTGGTTGTCTTGGTAGTCAATGTGCTTCCAAACGATGCCTTCACGGGCGTACTCATCCTGCTCAAGCTTGAAAACGTGCTTGACGAAGAACTGTTGCAGCTGCTCGTTGGCAAAGTTGATGCACAGCTGCTCAAAGCTGCAGAAGGAGAAAGAGAATTGGATGATGGATGGATTTTAGTCTGAAAACAGTGGCAACAGAGCTCTAACGTCATTTGAACTGATGGAAATATCCACCTGTTTTTGGTGAAGTTCTCAAAGCCAAAGATGTCAAGAAGGCCTATTGACTGTCGAACCACATTCTCCTCTTCAGGTGGCTTGTAAATGGCAGCGTTAATTTTGCCCACCACCCAAATGAAAAGTTTTCCATATATAGCCTGGATGAATAACACAGAGAAGAGAATAGCAATAAAACCACTTAGTATTTAACATATCAACAAGCTACAGGCTGCTAAACTAACATTCTAATGTGGGCATTGAATCCTGCTGCTGCAACATGAAGCTCAAAGCTGATCTGAAGAACTGATGGATGTCGTGTTAAAGTTGACAATGTAGAGTTTAGACTGATGTTTCAAGACATTTCAACATGTCACAGCAGGAAAAGCAATGGCGTTAGATCAAAAACAGCTCTGTCCTGTTCAGTACTCTTACTGATGTATTGTACTTGAGTATTTCCTCTTTACTTCCTACTCCACTACATTTATCTGGCAGCTTTATGAAGCTTTCAAATAATGAAGACTATAACAAGTTTTTGAAATACAACATATTGTTACGAATTAAACCACAAGTTTAGAACCTTCATGGCTTCTTATAAAAATGCAATGTGTAGTTGATAACAGCTCCACCGGATAGTGACTTTTGCCTGTTTCTTTAGTTTAATTTCAATAAATGTTCCAATTGTTCAGTTGAAAAAAGGTGAAAAACTAAAAACTAATTTGTGTATTGGATCGTCCTTTTTTCTCTTCTTCTTTCCTCTGCCATTAATGGTGATTTATCTGCTAGCTCCACCTACAGCAGCTTCATCAGTAACATGCTGCTGACACTCTGATGCTTCACTCCTGATAATGTAATGATGTTGTATACAATGATGTATCAGTCAGAGGGACTAAACCAGGACTTTTACTTTAATACTTCAAATACATTTTGCTGCTAATATTTATTTTTACTTTCATTTAGGACTTTTACTTGTAATGGAGTATTTTTACACTTCTGGTACACATTGCAACATCCTCTACTTAACAAAAGGGTCAGACTACATTTTCCAGCACTGCAGTATACACAGCACCAGGACCCTGAAAATAAATTAGCAATATTGAAAGAATCTATTATTTAGGTTAAATCAAAATGCCTTTTCTCTTATTCTTTTGTCATTCATTTGTTTTCCTGCCTCACAGGACATCTTAGTGCAGTGTTTATTATCTGTTAATATGAACTGCGTTATGTGTCTTTGTTAAATTTGCATGCCACGTGTGACTTGTTTTACTTTGACAAAGGCATCCCTGCCATCCACAGCCTGATCAGAGTTCAGGCCTTTGATCACACTTTCCCTGGCGGTCATGAAGGAGCGCTGAGTCAGACTCTTGTCCAGCGCTTTGGGATCCACCTGAGGTAACAAGACAAGACAGTCAGACAAGGTCATTCGACTCTCTGTTTGAATTTGCAGAGCAGAAACTACACGTGCCTCCAAAAGCTGGCAAGCCATGTCTAAATGGGAGGATTTGCTGATCTCACAGCCCTCCAGGTTGTTTACGATGGTGCCTGAAATGTACAAAATGAAGATCAGTACTTCAGAATCACAACAATATTAGAATAAAAATATAATGCTTTATATTACTGCTCTGCACCCTCAAATTCCACATTGCCCAGGTGAAGAATGGCTGCAAGCAGTTTGCAGATTTCCCAGGAGTCATTCTCTGTGAACATGAGGATCTTCAGAGCTGATCGGAAGTGAGCAAACTCGTTCACATCATCACGCCCTTCACAGCTGGTGCAGTTACCCTGGTGACATGGTTACATGGTTTAAAGCTACATATGAAGCCTTATCCTCTCATCTGTGATTCACACTTCATGTATTTATATGCATGTGTGCATCAGTAAAGACAGTTTTTAATTCAGATTTCACAGTACCATGGTCAGATACTTGTACTCAGCAGCGCTTCCAAGGGAGAGAATCTTTTTCTGCTCTGCTGGCATCCCCATCAGCATGTAGTAAAAGATGTGGTAGTTTCTCTCCTGAGGCGCCTGCACATGAACGCACATGTTCTTTAACACGGGGAAGTTTGACTCGTAGCACATTAATACAATCAGAAGTTTTCAGATTTCCCCACCTGACGGCAAACTCTGGACTTCTCCAGCAGGTACTGCTCCACACGGGCCGCTTCAATGGCCCCGCCTTTGGTGAAGTAGATGTCTATGTACTTTCCGAATCGACTGGAGTTGTCATTGCGAACGGTTTTGGCATTACCAAAGGCTGGGAGGAAAATGTCATCAAAGCAGATCAGTTGAAAAAGCGGGTAGAGAGTTAACTATTAAAACTGCCTTATGGCTTTATCTGGCTGTTCACCTTCTAAGATGGGGTTTGCCTCAAGAGTCTGCTGCTCTATCGAGGAGTGCTGACCGCTCACCGCAGCCAGGAACTGCAGCATCAGTTTGGTGCTCTCGGTTTTTCCTGCTCCTGATTCACCACTGATGAAGAAAACAGAGACATTAGCATGTGTGGCTGAGATGTACTCAATAATGTCCTTTGTTTGGCATTAAAAAACACATTCCTTTAATGTTTTCTTTACTTAAAATCTTGCAACAATAACAATAGAATTTGACAAGAATCAATTTTAAGTCTGGTTCTCTTCACAATCAACATGAATATCCTCAGTTATTTATTTATTTAAGTTAATAATTGCCAATTTTTAAATGCTTCAGTAGAAGGCAACTGGGTTACTTGAAAACATTTTACCTCTCATCCAAGAGGCTTTCTCAGTTCAAACTGACTGGTGGTCAGTTAGGTCATTTATTTATTCTCATCCCAAATAGTCATTAAAGCTGTCTGGGGATGGACTTTAAGACTGCATCATTAGCACCTGATAAGTGGTGTTGTAGAAACCTTCCTCTGTTTAGAGATGGCTGTTCCAGTTTAACACCATGGCTTCCTACCTCCTATAAAGCCATCTGTCTTCTCTGGTAAGAATGTGGACATCGTATCTGTGTTAAACAGTCATCTCTAAAGTGTGTGTGTGTGTGGGTGGGGTGATTCAGGTGATCTGTGGTGAGAGTAAACACCAGTCAATTAAACCTGAGGAAGTCTCTTAGAAAAGAGATTAAATGTCTTCAAGATGTCTCGCTGCCTTCTCCTGAAGCACTTCAGACTACCATGAACTGAACTATGAAGTTTGGGCAGTGGTACGGTTTTTCTGTGTTTCTATTCACTAAACTGAACCAACTGGCCGCCTGTTGTTGCCTTTATTTGCTGTACAGACATGAGTACAAGCCTTTCATCCAACTCCCTGACAGAAAACAAATAACTGTGTCCTTTCACTTTTAGCAATTTTAATCATGTCACTACTACATGCCACACTTGTTGCTTGTAACATAATAAGGACACTTCTGTTAAAGATTTTGGTTTTTCATTTGTATATAAAAAAAGCTTAAATCAATCAGTCAATCATTGGAACTTGTGTAAATGAAATGAAAGAATCTGGAACCAGTCTCCTGTGAGTCGCCTAAAGCAGACCTGATGACACAGCACTGGTTCTTTTTGTTGCGCCGCATGTTGAAGAAGCAGCTGTCTGCGATGGCGAAGACGTGCGGCGGCATTTCTCCCAGCCGTCGGTCTGTGTACATGTGCACATGCTCGATGGTGTAGATTGGCAGCAGCTGGTAAGGGTTCACTGCAACCAGAATGGAGCCTGTGTAGGTCTGAAAACAGAGAAGGACGTTAATCAGCGCACAGTGGGACGCTTCATGTGTGTGTGCATGAGCATAAACACGTTATTATGGTGGAAGCACGGCAGCGAGCCAGTGACCCAAATGACCCCATGTTTAGTCAAGGCAGCAGCACACAAGATGCACAATTCACTGGATTTAAACATTTAACGGATTAGCTGTGAAAAGCTGTTCTAAATACTGAAGCTGATAATATGATTGCCAAGCGCAAGACAAGAGAAAATCAGTGTGTAAATGTTGCCCCCGGCACTTAACAGTAGCATTTTTATACAACAAAAATGGCCTGATTCATAACTGAACACACACTGTTCAGCTTTGATGCAGTGACGCAGAAACAGTGGGACATTTTCTGTCAACAGAGGCTCATTCGTCTCTATGGAGACAAACAGCACCGTGATAAACGACGGGGCAAAGTCTGAGACAGAGCTGGTCACGGCAAGAGAAGACGTGTAAGCATTTTCACAGCAGGTTATGGACATCGTAAAACTGGGTGGTTCTGCAGTGAATCCAGGAAACGAAAACCTACATAGATGAGGCCCTCTTTGTGCCGCACCAGGAGGTTCCTGAGGAGTCCAGCCTCGTTCAGATCGCCGAGTCTTATCATGTCATCCACACCCTTCACAGAGGTGGGGTGCATGGGTCGGATGCTGCCCTCGCTCTTCTTGTTGATCTTGTGCTCCTGTGTGGACATTATGAAATAATTAGGTATAAATATCAAAGACTGACACAGATTTTCCAGATCTGATAGAGGTAAAGTGTTGCATGCATCCTCTTTTGTACCTTTCCTTCATCATCGATCAGCTGAAGCTGCCCGGTGTCGGTTACTTTCACCTCGGCCCCGAGCGGGACCCCGGCACCAGAGTCCACCCATACAAAGTCACCCTAATGGGGGAAACCAGAAGTTGTAGTAAGACAAAAAGCTGTGTCTGGCTTGTCAAAATGTGTGTAAATATTATGCAGATACTCTGTCATACCTTACTTAAATGCAGCATGGTGGAAATGTGTATTTAGACTGCAAAGAAATTTTAGAAACTGATTATTTACCTCAAATTCAGCACAGTAAAAAGAATCATACTTCATACTACCATAATAGTTCCAATTTGTCTGGAGACCTTGATATTTTTTATAGTTTTGACATAATTTAGGTAAGTTATACATATTTACCCTATATGTATAGGTACACAAGCTTGAAAGGCAGTTGAAATTGAAATTTGCTACATGACAAAGCAAATTTTTACTAAGTCACTACTTTAAACACGTTTTTCATTTCGACAGCTCTGCTTACACTCATCATCTCAGAGTTTTTCCTATATATGTGGATCTTCTGTCACTTTCCAAAGTGGTTTTAGCCAGCACCAAAGTAAAATCATCAGCGGCAAAATGATAGAAACAGGGAAAAAAGCAGCAAAAAAGATTTTTAACCAGTTTAGGTATTTGGAGTTTCATTTACACAAGTGAAACAAGTTTTTGTTTATCAAATGGTCAGAAATCACAGGGAAATGTTTAGATTTCAGTGAAACAAAGTAAGATTCTTTGTCTTTATTTTACTCCTGTAATGCATGGGCACCTCTCAAAGGCCCAATCTGAGCCAGGAAGAAACCTGTATCTCACCATATAAGCACGACGTCCACCTTCAAGAAAATTCCACTGATCAGCTTATACAGAATGTCACGAATGTCGCAATTACAACAAAATGTTGGAAGCATGTTTAAAAGTTTCCTTTTCTGCCAAACGCTTTAGTACAATTACCACAATTAGGATGTTGTTTTGTGTGTGTTGCATCAGCTCTTACCTGAGAACAGCCGTTTGTGGAGTGGAAGCTCCTGCTACTGCTGAAGGAGCATTTCCCTGACTGACCTGTGAAGCAGGAAGGTTTCCCAGCATAGCTCATTTTATGGCCCTTTGACTTTGCTCCTGCAGAGGTAGAGCCACCCACAGTCACTAACCACCAGACTTGAGTCATTTACTTACCGATGACACCACAGCGCATCAGTTTCAGTTGTGTTTAAATACATTAACTACTACACATGTGCTCTTCTATATAATGCAAATCTTAAAACGGTGTCTGAAAATTCAGCTTTACAGTACTTGACTGGCATCCCTTGTAAAAGAGACTTCTAATCTCAATGTGACTTCCTGGTTAAATAAAGGTTAAAATAAATAAATAAATACAATAAAACTATAACCACAACTACTGTAAATAACAATAGAATAATAATACCAAGACAACATTTCCATCTATTAAACATTTAACAATATTACCAGCTAAATTTTCAGTCATCATATTTAATCTTTTAGTCCTTCTCAACCTAAAAGGTTGGAAACTAACAGTTCCTTTCTCTTTGAAATACCAAACAAAGCTGAATGGTAGACAAAACTGGTTTCAGTTGGCAAAACAACCGTCAGCAGGATGGTGTCAGACACTGTGCTAAAAGTAGAAGTCACTTCGTTAAATACCTGTAAGTCATATTTCCTGATCCATAAACCAGTTGTCATGGGTCGAGTACTGCCAACGTGTTGTGATGTACTTAGAGGCAATTATGTTGTAAAAAGGAGATAGTACAGAGGAACGGCTGAACTCACTCTGGAGATGTGGATTAAAACAGTTCATACCACCTATAAGACGCACATATAGGACAAAGCTAATACAGATCAGACTGAGCCACATAAATAGAACGACCTCCAGAAGCAAAACCTTCATCAGGGGAGAAATGTAAGAGTGCAGATCGGTTTGAAATACTGTCAAATTAATCTACACCTGAGGGTGATATCAGGGTTTAACAATGAGTATCATGTTATACTGTAGCTTCCTCATATTTAATAACAAGGAAATATGTTTACGATGTGAAGGTGCTGCAAAACACGCTCCATGATAAAACTGGTCAGACTGAAGCAATGACATTGTAATCTCGCTATCTGCCCACGAGTGTGGTTTGTGTTTCCATTGAGCTTGGCACCAGAATCAAAAAATAAGGAATAACAACATTAAAAACAGGCAAGTTATTTAGCAGAGCTGCAATCATGAAGCAATCAGTTGTCAGTTATGAAATTTATCATCAACTATTTTGATGATTAGATTATTGGCTTGAGCAAGTTGGAAAAAATAGTAAACATTTCCTGATTCTATCTTTTCATATTTCAATATTTTTTTTCTCTTTCCTCTTCTGGGACAGTAAACTGAATATCTTTGGGTTGTGGACAAAACAAGACATTTGATGACATCACCTTGAGCTTTGGAAAACACTGATTCACATTTTTCACCATTTTCCAACATTTTGTAGACCAAACATCTAATCAGTTATTAAGGAATATAAATGACAGATAAATCAACATTGGAAACAACTGGTTGTTGCAGCTCTACACCTCCGGCTGGACTGTTTGCTGCATGCATTTCCTGTCTCTCTCGCTATAAATGGCACAAAATGCCCCAAAACAAATGTTACACAAAAGACAACTAGCAGAATGAAAAATAAAAGCAAACATAACAGCATACCTCGTATTGTTTAAGTATCTTTACTATAATTACACAGACAAAAACAATGTACAATGGCTGGATGCTTCAGGCTCACTTCATCGTAATCGTTACACTCTGCAGCGTGAAGCGGCACGTCACACAGCACAACATGTTTCATAGAGTACAAAACTTGAAAAGAACCAGGTCAATGGAAAACCAAAAGCACATTTACAGTGATTTACATAAATTCAATCCGCCATTGTGATCACATGAGGATAGTTGCTGTCTTCTTTTCGAGCACTGTACCTTCTGCCGAAACCAAATCAAAGTATTACCACCGTCATGACATCCAGTTGTTCTGTAAGCAGATACTGATGACAGCATGAAATAATAAGTTGACTTGGCGTTCTCATTTTCAATTAGAAGGACAATATTTATCCTTTAAGAGCATTTTTTTCCTATATTAAATGAAAAGATTTTGAAACATTTAGGCTTGCTTGTTTACTCCAACCCACAGACGTATTTTATTCTTTAGACTTTTAAACTTGTGGTTCATAATAGGTAACCGTTTACCCATAGTTGATGAAAAAAAAAAAAAAAACTAAAAAAACACAGGTGCAGGATGTCAAAAAGGAGAAGCAGCTAAACTGATCTGACACTTTCCTTGAAGTGATATTTTTAAGTATTTCGACAGCATGTGGAACAGCTTGTCCCTGTCGGTTTCATGTACACTGACAAAATGAAGGCACAGACTGATGAAAAGAGCACGACTGAGATTCGTCTGTATACACACAGTTTGCTAAAGGACTTGATTTACTTTCTGGTTCTTCACCTGAACTGAAATTCTTCTCTTTTATAGGACACACTGGGTGTCAGATTCACTGCACCTGCATTTAGTGCCGAACATCACAGATACACAATGTACCAGCTTCCAAATGTCTTAAACAAAAAAGGCAGAAACTAAAAGTTAGTAAAAATGGTTTCAGGGGGTTTTCAAATATTAAAAAAAGGGGGGTAAATAGCGGCCGTCCAGTCGGCCACTCTAATGCAACCTACAATGCTCCACGCTCAATATGTGCGCTGTGTCTTGAATGAGAACCTGCTCCTGATGGGCTTTTCTGCTTCGTGAAATCCTCCTGACGTTTCTCTCCGTCCGCTCTCAGGCAGATGGGGAGGGTGCCTGCGATTGTATGCAGCAAATCATAGCACCAAAAATCTGAGCAGCTCCTTCAGCCCTCGTTCAGAGAGTTAGGGGGGCAGTGGTGGTTGTCGACGGATGAGAAGGTCGTGCTCACGCCCGTTCTTTACGCTTCAGTTTGGAGGATTTCTTGACAGCGCCGTTCTTGTTGAGCAGCTTCAGCACTTTCTCCTTGTGTTCGAGCACTTTCATCATGGTGTCTCTGGCCTCGGTCACCTGGTCCATCACCAGCTTACAGCGCTGCATGTTACCCTGAGGACAGAAGCATACATTACGTCAGCTGTGGAGGAAAAACTTATTGGTAAAGTGAAATTAAGGTGGGAACAGAAATCCACATTACAATGTACTAAGCCTGCTGAGCATCAAAGCCACAAAAAATAATTTAGAAAGGCAAAGTTTGCGTAAACTGACAGCCAACAAATGCAAAACAGTGCACCAAAACTTGGCAAATATGCCTTAGAGGTTGTTTACAGTGGCTTTGTACCATCCTCTCAAAAACGTTTGCTTTATTTATGATTATTTAGTATTGTTTACTTCCTACGGTGAAGAGGCCCATTGTTTTTTAACATATTTTAGTATACAACAAAAACCAACATAACTATTATAATTTTAAAAAGTCCCAACGAAGAGGAACCAGTGACTATCTTTGATAGTTACAGGGTTGAGAAACAGGAAATGTGGGAAAACACTGTGGGGAAAATACATGCGGGTCTTGGGAGTGGGAATTGAACCACAGACTCGTTGCTTAAAGGTGTTTGTTATGCAGTCAAACCACTCCGCTACAAGATTGCCCCTGCATGCTTTTTTTTCCTCCTAAAGATATTTTGCTTGAGAGTTTAGGTCTTGAATGCTCTGTGAATCCTTCCTGTTTGTGCATTCATGAGTTGCAGTGAAGGTTCCACAACAGAGCTTCACCTTCATGGGAAGCAAAAACATAGTTCGGTCTCCATATGAAAAAATCTGTGCATGACTGACTGCTTTTTATTACTTAAAACAATCTTAAAGACTATTTTCTATTACTTGACAAACCGCTGGTTGAACATATGTTGTTTTTTTTGTTAACTAACTATTGTCTATGTGAAATTTGGTATGTGTCTTGTATGAATCATGATACAGCCTAAATATTTGCATGACGAAGCATTATGACATTATCGTGTGATCATAAACCTCAACGATAAATGCAAACAGCTATTATATATGGCTGTCATAAAGTGATTGTTGCACTGAATGGCCAATAAAAATGTGATGGCTTCAGAATACAAGAGAACTCCTCATAAATGTTGAATTCCTCTGAGTTGAATGTAGATGTGTACTATCAATGTCTAATCAGGGCTGTAAAA